AATGGGTGCCTGGTATGGGAAGATGCCACTGCACCTCCAGTAGTGAATGGGTACCTGTTAGGGGAAGATGCCACTGCACCTCCAGCAGTGAATGGGTACCTGGTAGGGGAAGAGGCCACTGCACCTCCAGCAGTGAATGGGTACCTGGTAGGGGAAGATGCCACTGCCCAGTGAATGGGTACTCTGTATGAGAGGATGGTAATATTGGTGTTAACCTTCCAGGGCCTCAAATGCACTCCAGGACCTGAGAAATGATGTACTAAGAACATATTCAACATGGAATAGTGCAATACAAATGTACTATTATCACTGATTATTACAAGTTATATGCCCATACAATGGACGGTCTGTGTGTTGATCCCCAATAATAAAAGATGTTCAAAGATGGTACATGTTGGACATTTACAGAATAAAACAAAAACTGATTTGCTCAGACTGAAGTGAGTATGCTACATCCCACACACCTCACTATAAGTACAATAAAGTGGTGACGCGTGGTCCTGTGCTCAAAGCTCAGGTCACAAATCGGTGAAGTTAAGCAGCGTCGAGCTCGGAGAGTCCTTGGATGGGTGACCGTGTTTGGCAGCTTGACTCCTGACAGTTTCTAGGACTTGAGTCCTGCCCCACAACGAAGCACATGTGACACATGTGGTCTCACCTTAGGCAAGTCAGTTTGTTCAAAATTGTCTCTGTTCACCCAGCAGGAAAATGGGTACCCGGTGGAAAAAGTCATATGACTATAACCTTCTAGCGCCTAACAGGCAGCTTGGGTTATCCGGGGTAATAATGTGCTGTGCTTTGATTGTTAGCGTTATGAGCATACCTAGTGTGGAGTTTGGCGTTATATAAATGGACACATTATTATTATTATTATTATTAATAAAGTACTTACTTTCATAACCCAAAGTTGCTCACTTAACAGAGGGATCGACTTGCAGAAATACTGCCAATGAAGAAACCTAGTTGATCCTTTAAGAAACATCTTAATGCTACACACACATGAATCTGGAGTGTTATAAACATGTCTTTCAGTGGCATTTAGAAGTTGTACATTGATGTCCAAGATATTTTTATGGATTATAAAGAATTATAAAGAAGTTTAATCCATAAAAATTATGTTGGATATTATAAACATATTTGGTGTGTTTTACTGAAAGCATGATCAATTACAGTAAATATGTTATCTGGTTCAAACTAATTATATTTAATCCAGAACACAACAATGCAAATGTTACAGAAACTGTTTAAGAACATTTATTGACAAGAGGAATGTTTAAATTTACACACATCTCCAATAAGGACAACACCCTGCAAGAGAAGACGACAGTTACACAGGTACCATGTTTAACCTAATAAGTGCACATCTGGCTTGACTGGAAATGTCAGTATAAATGTAAATATATACCTGGGTACATTAAGTTAGTGAGTGAGTGAGTGATCAAGTTGGGTTTTACGCCGTTTTTAGCAATATCCAGCTATATCATGGCGGGGGACACCAGAAATGGGCTCCACACATTGAACCCATGTGGGAACTCGAACCTTGGCCTTCGGAGTGACGAGCAAACGTTTTAACCACTAGGCTACCCCACTGCCCCTACATTAAGATAAGAATAGATGTCCAACTACCAGTACTTGAATAAGCAGAAAGAATTCCAATCTTTCCTGCCACTTATTTCTTGGACAGGGTTAGGGTTAGACTGATGTAATTCATAGTTAATTAGCCTTCTTATTGCTTTTAGACATAATCTACATTTTACATTCATAAAAATAGCATATAAATTTATTAATTTAAGTGGCTGGAACGATCGGAAGTCTTACCCAAGAAGCTGTATTGATAAAACCAATCATTCATATCAGGAAGGTATATGTTCAGGAACAGGTCAGTAGTCAATAGGGTAGTGTGTTGATGATCCAGGACAAAACTGGTTTGAATCCCTATTGGTTCACATTGTCCTGGTATAAGATGCTGCTGTATATGATGGTATTTTCTCCTTCATTCCCATATAGGAGGGCCCCAAGTCTGGATTAGTACTTACGAAGTTCTGTAAGAGTCCCTCAAGTAGTGAGTAGGTGAGTTTAGTTTTATGCCACACTCGGCAATATTGCAGCTATATGGCGTCGGTCTGTAAATAATCGAGTCTGGACCAGATAATCCAGTGATCAACAGCATGAGCTTCGATCTGCGCAATTGGGAACCGATGACATGTGTCAACCAAGTCAGCGAGCCTGACCACCCGATTCAGTTAGTCGCCTCTTACGACAAGCATAGTCGCCTTTTACTGCAAGCATGGGTTGCTGAAGACCTATTCTACCCCGGAGCTTCACAGGTCCCCTCAAATGGTGTACCGTGTGGCCACAATGGTGAGTACTACGGTGGCTGTGATGTCACTGTGTAGAAACAAGTGTTGTTCACAATATAAACCACTCCATACAAGTTGTCAAGTGACCTTATGTTAAGTTATTAGGTTGAACATGGTTAATAACATCTTGCATAGAACAAGGCCATCACAGGTAACATACAACCTTTAATGAAACAGGTGAGTTGTCACTGACAGTATGACATCTACAGCTCCTCACTGTGGCACCAGAACACACAGAAGGCATTCATTGTGTAGAACACACTCTAGCAACATTAGACCTAGGTTTTAGTTTGTTAGATCACAGATTCGTTTCTCTCAAAGTCAGAAGTCTGAATAAGGACAAAATAGAAAAAAAGGGACATCAAACCCACTCAAATAATGGGAGCTATTAGGGTGAATCAGATTCAAACCCATGATCAGCGTTTCCTGGTAACTAAGGGAAGTAACTCTGCACACTACATTTCCGGCACCTTAGGTGTCTGTGTACCTGAGTGTCAAACTCAAAATGTCACCAAATCTTTGAAGAATAAGTTCACATGACTTAACTGCAGAAAGTTACTTGTCAGACTTGTGAAATATTTTTAAATGTGTGAGGGGTGCCAATTTTCTTTTCAAATTTCATATTTCATTGAGACATGGAAGGTAATCCTGTGATCTAACATACTAGTCTTTAGATGTTTTATTATGCATATTCAGAAGGAGCTATTTGTCATACTGTAAATTACAGCTCAAACTGAGATTATGTACAAAATAATTATAGAACACTTAGTATACACTTATGTGTAGCAAAATATAAACGAACACAAATCTTATATACAGCCAGTTTGCGGAGCAGCAAACAGAAGACCACTGCCAACCTTGTTGATAAAGGGTGACAACGCCTGTCAAATATATACCTGGAAAAGGTTCAGTGATACTTACTACATATTTAAATGTATTATTAAAACAATCTTATATATAAATCATATTCTGTGTTAATTTCTGAAGATGTATGCTCATTTCTGGTTTACATATCCGTACTGAAACAATCTCATAATAATCAAACCTTTTCCTTTGATACCATACCTCTCCACACTAAGTGATCACGTAGGATGAACTGCTCAGCCAATCAGAAATGAGGCTTCTAAAATCTTATATATACACCAGATTATCTAATATCTGTTGTCTGAAAATGGATGAACACAACAACACATTCCAAGAGTTGCCAATACAATATATAGTTTAACATTACATTGTTGTACTATTGGTACAATTTTCTTTAGTCTAGTTTTGTGTGGGTTTTCATTTGTACAAATTGAAGTTTCTGAATAAGGTCTTCAAAAAATGAAAAGCTGACAGCTGATTGGCTCAAGAATCCCTCAGCTTTCTTTTAGATAGTGCAGTCAAAGTTGGATCCGAGTTAACCTGACACGGTGATAGAGAGAGGTATTGAAGTAAAATACATGATGTTAATGAAATTGGTCAATATTTTTTTAATTGACATCTAATGTAAAGATAAGATATATGGATACACCATCATTTTTGACAAGCTATGTTTCATGATGATTTCCAAGCGTAACTTGCTTGATAATGGTGTTAGAACCTACACCGAAACTTCAATGCTATTTGTACTAAAGATGTTGCTTATCCATATATCTTCTCCTTCCTTAAGACTCCAACTTCAGAATGCCTCTCAAAGAAGACATGTAATGTACTTGACTACAATTTCTACTCCTTCATCTGCATCTGTGCCTCACATGGTATGCATCGGTACTTTCATCCATCATATGATCTGTCCTTTTACCTACTAAGTTGCTATCATACACATTTATCAAAGTGAGATTAATTTCATGGACATATTTCAAAAGGATACCATACATGGAAGTCTGGGATAAACCAAATATACAGGAAATTATCATAGTTAACATATTCAAGGTTTTTATTTCTACTACGTGTAATGAGAAATACATACAGCGTTAGAGGTGGGAGACGACTTGCTGAGGTATAGAACTCAATATAAGAATAAAAAACACTTTGGCTTTGAGGAAATACTTTGTCAATAATCACTGGGCCTATATTTTGATTTACTTTGGCTAAAAACAAACATGTAAAAAGGACACAAAAGTGTACAAATAATTCAGTTTGATGGATTTGATAAAATAAACTGTCCCTGAAGATGTCTTAAAAAGACTTGTTTCTTGCTTGATGCTTTTCCAGTTTGGTTTTGCCCTGTAGTTGACAAGTTACCCAGTATCCTAAGAATATCAGATGGTCCGTCACTAATCTGGAACCTCAACGCTGAACCATATTTTTTTCATATCAATCCCAACTGCGTTACACCAGGAGACAAGAGATGCTGCAGTCAGCATTAAGGTGGTAAATCAACCACTGGTCATCTTGAGGTCAGTATGATGAGTGTACGTGGGGTATCGATGTCAAACTGTGGCGTGGTACCTCAGTGACCTTGTACTAGATCTCTGGAATAGTATAAGCAGCCTCACATGTGCATGCAAACTGTTATATAATGCAACAATTTTGAATCCAACGTTACACATATCTTTCACATTACGTCGAAGTAGGCACTTACAGATATACTGCAATATAACACTGTTTCAAAGATGAAATTAATAAAAGGTAATGAATCATGAAAAAAAATCAACCTGCAAATGCAATATTTAATTGGCTGAAATAAGAAACCAGGTATCTTGGTGCAGATGGTGTTGGGTTAAACCAGTTATTGCTTGATAGAACATGTTCTTAACCATATGTGGGCAGATTTTTGTGCAAGACATTTTATCTTAATTATCTATTTGTACAGTATTTGTATTTGTTTAAAGTGAGTGAGTATGGTTTTACGCTGCTTTTAGCAATATTCCAGCTATATCAATGCAGGGCACACCAGAAATCGGCTTCACACATTGTACCCATGTGGGGAATTGAACCCGGATCTTTGGTGTGACGAGCCAACGCTTTAACCACTAGGCTACCCCACCGCCCATTTGTTTAAACATTGAACAACATGTTCAACAGTCTTGTGTATAAAAGCTTGTCTGCTGACATTTGATTAGAGATATTTTCTCCGGTAATTATCAAGCAATGTTTTTGTTGGTAAATACATTGAGTCTGTATTATAAATAGTATTGACAAGTATACATGTAACAATATCTCTAAATCTAGTTTCACCACAATATACCAACAAGCATGCTTCGGTGTGAAAGAGAGGCAGGTTGTAAGGCCAGGCGGATACTGTTGAAGAAGTATAGATCTTGGGGAAAGACATGATGACTTGATAAAAATATGTTTTGGATTTGTTGATTAATATTACACATAAAGCAAACTCAGACATCTTTAACCATTCTTGGTTATCCAGTGTACTAGTGTGTGGCTTTTGATGAGGACACAGCAACTTGGAAGGTGACCAATATTATTATTGTGATTGTATCTTGTAAACAAATAATACATGTCTTGTTTTACAGTTTTGTCAGTTGTCAATAATTAAAGAAATACAAAACAAAACATTATCTAGGTGAAATTAGGGTTGAAGTCCTTGCTGAAGAAAATATATCAATCTGGAACTGACTGGTTAAAAATATTATATTGATCATGGCAAAATTTACAAAATTTGCAAAATTGTGTAATTCTTGAAAGCCATAGGAAACAAATGAATGCAAAATTTGTATTTTAATAATGCCATTTAATGTCTTCTCACTATAAAATATCCCTCTCTATAGAAACATAGGTTGGGTAACTGATAGTTGAACCTATTAAAATACAAATTTTGCATTCTTGTGTTTTGTCAGACCAGTCCAATTACGTCTCATGTTTGAAAATCATGCCAAGAAACAGGTAATATTTGAGTAAGGATATATATGCTGGACAGTCAGGATCAACCAAACCATGATTGTTTAGTTTGGCCTTGAGCCAAAACTCTTGGCTGTTGACACCTGGAACAGTCCATTTTGCTATCATGGGGAGATCAAGCATTTGCACATGCAGTGTATAAACATCTGTAAAGAGGAACATACTGCTAAACTGGACCCATGGTGGAATGGACTCATCTGTCTTTGACTGAACCATCTGGCAAGATGGAGTCATCCCATGCTGGTTAAGCTGTCCTGCCTTTCCGACATGAAGGAGAAAATATTTTTGTACATTCATGGTTTCATCTACTGGCAAACAGTTTTCAGGAAAGAAAGTCAGGATGACAGGAAGTCTATCAACGTCTCATACTTATTTGTGCTTGTGTGATCATATCCCACGACCTTGATCTCAGTTCCACCAAATATGACCTCGAGGTCCACTGCTCTCTCCTTGTCCCCGGTTAGATCCGGCATCCGGACTATCAGTGACCCACATTTCTCCACCCCGGCCTCATCTGTGTATTTCACATGTCTTTTAGACGACCGGAAGAACTCGAAAATAATTCCTTTCTGGTTGGTAATAATGGGCGTGTATGTTTCCCTCCAGATTTCATTGTGTCCAATGGTTTCACCAGCTTCGGCCCACGTTTGCAATATGTTCTTACAGAGCGTGACCCCATCAGAGACAACTCGGAGGTCTTCTCGGTGCACCCCTTCTTCAAACGGTAAATACGATCCAACACCATACGTGAAACGACAGATCCTCTGCCATATCGAACTAGGATCATGTCCGAACGCTACTGCTCCCCTAACAACTGCAAGACTAGCTTCATCTGGAACAAGGCACGTTACCCTTTCGCTAAAATGCGTTTTCAGAGCTTGTTGCAAACGACTGGATTCTGCAAAGCCACCGACCAGGAAGATGTAATGTAAGTCTTTGGTCTTTGGCTTCTGGAGAAGCTGATCTACATGGTCTTTAATCTGGGCTAAGGCATCGGCAAACAGTGACGTCACAACTGCAGATGTCAACACCAACTTCCCTGACGAGAATTTGACTTCATTGTTATTGTCGGCAGCGAATGTCTTGATAGCTTGTTGTACACTGACTTGATTGTGTTTGAAGTTACAGAAGTTGTAAGGCAGAGACACACGGATACTATCACACTCTCCACGCTTCTTGATCTCAAAGTCCTGTAGAAGTTCCACAAAATCCTTGGGGTAGCTCTGCTGGAACTCAGTGATGAAGTCTTTGCTGAAGATTCTGTGGAGAAGATTCAGGAACTGCCTGTCTATGATGGTACCGCCCCAGGCACCACCAGTAGCGCGGAACAGTTCCCGGATCCTCCCGTCCTTGCGGATCTTGTGCGCCACACAATCAATTGTTCCACCTAAAGGAAGGACAGACCATTAAGGAACAAGATTTAATACAGCACAGGCCATTAGTGAGTCAAGATATAATACAGGACAGACCATTAGTGAGTACAAGATTTAATACAGAACAGACCATTAGTGAGTCAAGATTTAATACAGGACAGACCATTAGTGAGTCAAGATTTAACACAGGACAGACCATTAGTGAGTCAAGATTTAACACAGAACAGACCATTAGTGAGTACAGACCATTAGATTTGACCATTAGTGAGTCAAGATTTTTACAGAACAGACCATTATGACAGGACAGACCATTAGTGAGTCAAGATTTAACACAGGACAGACCATTAGTGAGTCAAGATTTAACACAGGACAGACCATTAGTGAGTCAAGATTTAACACAGAACAGACCATTAGTGAGTCAAGATTTAATACAGGACAGACCATTAGTGAGTCAAGATTTAATACAGGACAGACCATTAGTGAGTCAAGATTTAATACAGAACAGACCATTAGTGAGTCAAGATTTAATACAGGACAGACCATTAGTGAGTACAATATTTAACACAGGACAGACCATTAGTGAGTCAAGATTTAATACAGAACAGACCATTAGTGAGTCAAGATTTAATACAGAACAGACCATTAGCATATGTGAGTCAAAAGAAATAAATAAAAGCATATGCAAAAGAAAATATGAAGAATAAAAAATATGAAGAATAAAAGGTATATATCGTCAACACTGGTGGGTTCTGAATACATTTGAATGTTGCTCTTTTTACAATTTCCTTCAATGCATGTTTTTTTGTATTTATTTATTTTCATTTAAAAAGTATCAAAATATTATTTAATTTTTTGCAATATCATTTTCTACTTTCAACAGATTGTCTAACATTTTCTTCAAACATCTGAATAAGTTATAAACACCCTAGTTAATGCAGGACTTATTCCTTGCTATATCAGCAGCAGCCCCAAATATATCCAGTCTTTAGCCTAACTAAGAACAATGATCCCCCACCAGGAAAAAAGGTCACACAGTCAGATGACTTGTCCACTGGATTCCTCTTTCAGCAAGCTTATGATGCATAGCTTATTGGGTAGAAATTCCATCTAGATCATGATGCCAGTCTACAGTGTTATAATTAAATAAGGCCCGTACGACTGCACAAGACGGGCTAGATTTCTGCCAGATGGTCTAATTTTACAGCTAGCTAGCCCGATGGACGAGTGGAAAAAAATATCCAGATAACATGTCCACTGGCACTGTCTATTTAGTATTTAAGGAGGATTGGTTAAACCTCTTCTGGGCTGGTAAGTTTTTGAAGTTACCAGCTTATTTCATACACTGCAGTCTATTGATAAATTCTTAATTTTGATACGGTATCAATACAAATTTATGAATAATATTACTAAAATTAACTGCTAGAGGAATGTTTACATTAAGACTGCCATGGTTAAGGTGGAATTCTAGAAAGTAGAAAATGTTCTTATAATCATTTAAGAGATAGCTTAAATATATTGAGCACTGAATTTATTAATTACAGTTCTAAATATGTAATTTACAGCTAAATACAGAGCATAAAATTGTGTTCCTAATCAATATATCTGATTCTTGTGTAATATTTCCAGTGACACCTCTTGTACAGGACCTATTCAGACCCGACACCCCAGCAAAAGTCTACATCAATGATAAATCTAATACAACCCGTATGTACCTCCAGCAAGAGTCTACATCAATGATAAATCTAATACAATCCCGTATGTACCTCCAGCATCCACGACGAGGTACTTGGTGCCGGGCTCGAAGCAAGGGTTGGATGCCTGTGCCGTGTCCTTGTAGCCGACGAAGTCTGTAGCAGGGAGGTTGCGGCAGTGTAGGGATGCAGCCTCTGGCTCCAACGCTATCACCAGCTGTTCGCTGTGGGGCGTCAGGATCAGAGAACCCTGCAACATGGACAGGTGAGCTAAATTATTGGTTTGTAACAACTGGGTCCATTGTACAGGTAAGCTAAATTATTGGTTTGTAACAACTGGGTCCATTGTACAGGTGAGCTAAATTATTGGTTTGTAACAACTGGGTCCATTGTACAGGTGAGCTAAATTATTGGTTTGTAACAACTGGGTCCATGGTACAGGTGAGCTAAATTATTGGTTTGTAACAACTGGGTCCATTGGACAGGTGAGCTAAATTATTGGTTTGTAACAACTGGGCCAATTGTACAGGTGAGCTAAATTATTGGTTTGCAACAACTGAGTCTATTGCTGTTCATCAATTACTAACACTTCACATCATCAGTAACTGCCATCAGGTACCATGCCTTTCAGTCTTGACCAAATATGGCGTTCACTCAAATACATAAATAATACAAGATATATCAAGTAACTGGATGCTCTTTGAAGCATTTATTACAGTTATCTACAGGTGTTGGTCTTAATCTGAAAGATTAGATAATCTAAAAATTATTAAAATATTTAAAGAATGTCTGATCCCTTGGATTTTAAACAGCATGCTTTGGTGATAAAAGAAAGAGAGTAACTCAGATACATGTGTTCCTAATAATGGTATTACTTTCAGGTAATGTTCTGCCAGTGCCCTTAATTCTGGGTGAACTTATTCAGATATAACACATGGACTAAAGAGCCCCTATTTCGCTCTTCAAAAGATAAAGGATCCCCAAAAGTAAGCCCCCCATCAAGTCATTCCCAAGTCCACATTCCTATACACCCTGTATACTGCATTCTGCATTAATAAGCAGGATCTGGCCCCAATTTCTCAAAACAAACTTAAGTTTTTACTCAGATTTCAAACTGAGTTTGACAATTTGAAACAACTGAATTTTTAACTCAACTGCATTTTTTAAAATAAAAAGCCCAAACAACTTAAGTAATCTATCTACCAAACTCAAATTGACAACTATGTTTGAGTTTAATATTGATTTCAGTTCAACATGGGAAATGCATTTTCTCAAATTTGAGTAAAAATTCGAACTTAAGTTAAAACTCAGACTTAAGTTTGTTTGGAGAAATCGGGGCCAGGACTCAGAGGTATCTGTTACAATTCAAGGTCACATATATGATAGAAACTATAAGTGAAAGAATGAATGTTATTTTCTGCCACAGAGATGTTCTAGCTGCATCACCACACATACCCTGTACGCTGCCTCCCTCATGAACTGTTTGGCATTCTCGTCCCAGATGGCGGGGACGGTGAGCACCCAGCGGACGGTGTCGGGGTGGGGGTCATACCCGAGGTGAGCACCGATAGCACGTAACATGTGTTTCTTCATGAAGTTGAGGGAGTGAGCGAACACGTCGACAGCAAGCTGACTTTTGCCATTGGCATCCTTCAGGGTAATATCTGCATTCAGCTCCTGAAAAACATTTGTCACAGATTACTGATGGTGTCTTCCTCTTCTGATATCACTGAAGTCAAGAACTGCCATTCATAGACTGGGAAACAAACGTTGTACTGACATTCATCATCTAATATGCAGGCATCACTTTAGCACCTAGTGTTAATGCTACATGTTCATTTCATGGTCCTGGTTCCATGGTCTAGAGGAGAGAGCACCTGTCGGAGAGTGGAAGGTCGATGGTTTGATCCTCTGCCAGGTCATAAGAAAAGACATTAAAGATGTTATTTATTGTTCCCATTACATACTACTTATTATCCACATGTATTGGTTTTCAATCTAGAAAATTTCTACAAAATTAAATAATGTTGACAACCTCCAGATTTTAACCCACAAAACAAGTTCTGCTCTCCCAAGGGGGATAACTCCAAATATATGCGTGCTCAATAACATCATTACTTTCAGGTTAAGTCATGCCACTGCCCTATAACTGAGTGTAAAATAGATCAGATGTCACACACTTCTTAAAAGCAAGAGACCCTGCTTGTATGGGCATAGTTTGAATGAGTGAGTGAGTGAATGAGTGAGTTTGGTTTTATGCCACTTTTAGCAATATTCCAGCAATATAACAGCAGGGAACAGCAGAAATGGGTTTCACACATTGTACCCATGTAGGGAATCGAACCCTGGGGAATTTGACCACAAGGTCGACCCAGTTTGAATGATGATTTATTGAAGATGCTTTCTCTGTAGGTATGAGGTCTTATGTTACTATTTATTCCCTGTGTTATGATGTTAATATTTCATGTGCTTATATCACCTGTTTAATCATTGATACACAAATTGCATGTTGTAACATCACAAAATAAATCTTGATAACAATTATTGAGACATACATCTATTTGAGGACCAGCTTTTTAGTTCTACACTCAAGGACTTTAATGTCTGAGACTACGTACTTTCTCGATCTGCAATATACTGTGTTAGCTTTAATAGTTCATGCATACATGATACATGCAGTATATTTGTCTTACCAGAGGAAATGTGTGAGTGAAATGTATGTTATATTCTTTTAAAAAAAACTAAGATGTACTGATCAATTGTGAAATATTTTTTTCTTTTCACTGATTATTTTTACTTCTTTCCATTTGTTGTTTTTTTACAACAAATAACAACAAATAAAAAGTAAATAATTAATAATATACTGAACAACAAAAGTTTAGCACATTTTGGTAACATTTATATACAAAAGAATTGATATGAGACAAAATACTGAAATTTTGCCCAAACGTGAACACATGATGACACACTTGAGTGCCATCAAACTTTACTCGATTGTTGGACCGTTGTAAAAAACAGGATTGTGCACGTGCATATCGAGTTTATGCCCATCGGCAGAAAAATCATGCAAACTGGGGTGTATAAAATGGTTGACATGACACACTGGAGTATCAGTGTACAGAAACCGCAAAGAATTGTTCAGTTTGAAGCATGGGTCGTCGGCCTGGAATGCCAGAAAATCAACGCAATGAAGCCCTCGGACGACTACGTGCTGGCCAGCATGTAAGAGACGTCGCCAGGCACTTCCAAGTGCATTACAGCACAATTATTCGTCTGCTGCAACGGGTCCAACAAACTGGCCAAGTTAGAGACCGACCAAGGTCAGGAAGGCCTCGTTCTACCACCCCACGGGAAGACCGCCACATTGTGACGTCATCATGACGACACAGGTTAACAAGAGCCCCACGTCTGGCCAACGAGCTGCGGCAAGCTACGGGTACACGACAAGCAAGCTGCGGCAAGCACGTGGTGCCCACACGTGCTATTAACTCGTTTTTGTCATTTGGAACGTTTTACCCCTACCTTAAATTGTGTAACGTATGGTGATTGTAAAGTTGATTGTAAATAAGATTGCTCTGTGCAAGTGGGCCCTGGATTGAACACGTCTTTTGACACTTCCATTGTGCTGTCAAATGGTCACTCTATTTCTATGCGTAATGAACTATAGCATCAAGTGTTACTTGTAGAAAATTAAATACAATTTCCAAAAATGTGCTAAACTTTTGTTGTTCAGTATATAATGAATATGACATCTTAAAATCTATGTTGTAATATAAGCAACCAAATTTGAGATATCTAAAATTCTTAAGACATATCTATTTCACTAATTCATGATATCAAATACTGTGTTAGCTTTAATAGTTCATATACTGAACAACAAAAGTTTAGCACATTTTGTAACATTTATATACAAAAGAATGATATGAGACAAAATACTGAAATTTTGCCCAAACGTGAACACATGATGACACACTTGAGTGCCATCAAACTTTACTCGATTGTTGGACCGTTGTAAAAACCAGGATGGTGCACGTGCATATCGTGTTTATGCCCATCGGCAGAAAAATCATGCAAACTGGGGTGTATAAAAGGGTTGACATGACACACTGGAGTATCAGTGTACAGAAACCGCAAAGAATTGTTCAGTTTGAAGCATGGGTCGTCGGCCTGGAATGCCAGAAAATCAACGCAATGAAGCCCTCGGACGACTACGTGCTGGCCAGCAAGTAAGAGACGTCGCCAGGCACTTCCAAGTGCATTACAGCACAATTATTCGTCTGCTGCAACGGGTCCAACAAACTGGCCAAGTTAGAGACCGACCAAGGTCAGGAAGGCCTCGTTCTACCACCCCACGGGAAGACCGCCACATTGTGACGTCATCATGACGACAGAGGTTAACAAGAGCCCCACGTCTGGCCAACGAGCTGCGGCAAGCTACGGGTACACGGAAAGCAAGCTGCGGCAAGCACGTGGTGCCCACATACGCTATTAACTCGTTTTTGTCATTTGGAACGTTTTACCCCTACCTTAAATTGTGTAACGTATGGTGATTGTAAAGTTGATTGTAAATAAGATTGCTCTGTGCAAGTGGGCCCTGGATTGAACACGTCTTTTGACACTTCCATTGTGCTGTCAAATGGTCACTCTATTTCTATGCGTAATGAACTATAGCATCAAGTGTTACTTGTAGAAAATTAAATACAATTTCCCAAAAATGTGCTAAACTTTTGTTGTTCAGTATATAATGAATATGACATCTTAAAATCTATGTTGTAATATAAGCAACCAAATTTGAGATATCTAAAATTCTTAAGACATATCTATTTCACTAATTCATGATATCAAATGTTTATGTGAATAAACTGTACTTATGACAGCACAAGGAGACTGGGTACTGTGGACCCTTAGATGTTTAGATTTCAAACACACTTTTAAATTTGTTATATCTGAGAACCATGCAGATATTTGACTATCAAACTGTAATAGCAATAATCAACTTTACACATCACTAATTAGATCAGGTCATATATCACATTGTTACATGATAAACCTGTTTCACTGATAGGGAAATCCTTCTTTTCTAAAACTGAGACGGCAATGTAAATAATGACTTATTGCTAAAACAAAATAGAGGAATATAGAAAAAATAGCTTCATTAAAGGGAACTGGTAACTGTAAGGAATGAAACTATTTATTTTGGAATAAAAGCTTCTGTGTACATCAACCAGGATATATGGAAAAACTCATGTTTATACAAAGGCTGATCCGCAAGTTGACCTTGACCTTATCATTGTCAGCTGGTCTGCTATGGAGTTTGGAAGACTAACAGCTCCTTCTGAGATGAACATTTATAGAAAAACAACAGTTCTTAAATGATCTTAATAAAATATAATGAAAAAGCCCAGAGATTTCTTCACTTTCAGCAACTAGAATAATCTACACTTGCCATATATTATAGACTTCCATGGACTGTATTCTTGTTTCAGAGCCTTTATGACAGAACTAAAGTCACACTAATCATTACCTGTCTACACTGAGATTTTGATTAATGCCTGTTACACACATGAATATTCATAATTAAGTTATAGCTATAGAAGAAATAACGAATAAAAATCAATTTACTATGGAGCTGTCTGCTAATCAGGTCCGTACGAACTATAATATAAATCTTTCATAATTTTGAATTTGATATTTAAAAGTACATATGAAGGATATGAGAAAATATTTTGATGAACAAAAAAAAGTATATATTTCTCAGCAGCTTTATATATCTGCTTTGTTGTTTACACAAAAAGCAGCTATGGTCATAATATTACGTCTTCCTGTTAATACAGAATATATAGCATAATATGCATGTTAGGCCCACAAGGCCACAGCGAGCGATATCCTTTTTTGTATGGGAAAAACACAGTAGGGCGTTTGATATTTGTTTTTCAAAATTAACTTTCCTCGTTTTTTTCAGTCTTCCTTCCTGTAATATAGAATATAGAACATTTAAGTTTTGAACATTACGCCCGGATATAAATGCAAATGGTCTCCTTTTCCATGGGAAAACAATCCAAACATTTTATATTTGTTTTTCATAATTAATATATCTCCTTATCTTAGTGGCTACTTGAACATTTTATGCCTTGCATTCTTTCTACTAGCACAATGGTGTGAGGGGACATACTGTAGCCGGTCGATGGTGCTTTCCATTGACCCTTCCCATATCACAGTTTATTTGACATCATAACTGGCAATCAGTGCGGCGAACATGAAGACAAAACGATATATATTGCAAATAGATAACATCAGTGTCCCAAACATATCAGAGAGGTGGAAGCCCGGGCTTGTAACGCTATAAAAACTGCCATCAAAGGTCTATACGGTCACTGACGGGGTCTATAGTACTAAGACCCCGTCAGTGACCGTATAGACTATGATGGCAGTTTTAACGTTACAAACCCCTGTGGAAGGACGGACGCCCAGCAGTCGGAAGCCTATGGAAACTACTTCAAAGGTATTGCCAGCTGATTCCGTCCGTTTCGATTTATAAGGTTATAAATTATGTTTAAAAAAGTAATATATGCCATATGCTTATCGATTCTAATATTTGTTTGGCAGGCACTTCTACCTTTCGCTTTGTTTAAGAACAAACTGTTTCGCTATAAAAGTAACGGTTCCGCTTTGTAGAAGCACGTGTTTGCAGAGTCACGTGACAGGTCACATGATCACTCCATGTGGGCCTTACACAGTATTATGTCACAATCAAGCTCTTTATAACATGACTAAAATATGCGGAAACAACACCACTCAGAAATTATTCATGATGAGATACTGCGCCAGATATCGTGCAATGACAACAAAACAAAGAAGAGCAGCCAGGCGTGAAATAAAACCATTTACATGGAGTTAAATTACTGTCAATTATCAAATATCAGCTGACTCAACTGACGAACGACACGACACGATGTGAGATTTGAAGCAGATTACTTCAATGAGACTGTAATGACAAACTGGACACATGGATATTGTATAGTTTCAAAACAAAGGAAATACGAGAAGACTAACCTTATTGTCGTAGAGTTTCATCTTGAATCTGTCAAAGTAGTAATAATCTCCAGCTTCATCCTCCGCGAGATCGTTATACCTAGACACTGCTTCAAACCCGAATGCTTCAAACTGTCCGTCGGATTTGAGCAGAAGGCAGGTGGGGGTTTTATGGAGCAGAAAGCCCTGAGTTTGGCCCCAATTCTTGTTGACGTGTATCGCGTCTTTGTTAGAGGCGAACGAATACGCATAGCCGCTAAAAGTCGTGCCAAAATCTATGGCGGCCACTATTTGATATTCTGCTGTGTTCTCCGAATCTGGTGGGTCGTCTGTTGGGGACTTCATACCTCCGCTGCACATGGGGCTAACATCTACTGGCTTCAGAGATGAGGCGGATATTTTCGGTTCGGAACTTGCGGCCATTTTCCTTGACTTCCAATTATAATCCCGTCTCCCAATGCAGCTAGCGCCACGCTCATTAATATAGAGTTATTGATTAATCTGTCTCACCCTAGACTGAACCCCTCCACATCTGTCAATGTTCATTTGGCGCAGACAAAAGATTCGAGGAATTGTTTAGTGCAACGTTAGAAATTTTACTGATATGTCAATGTTTCACCGGTTTAAAATAGCATAATAATTTTCATTAAACATTGTCTGGGTTTTGCATACGCGCATGTGCAGTATTATCTAAAACCACGAGACACCGCTTCTGTGCATGGAAAGACGTATAATGAATTCGCGTGACTCCAACAGTGGTAAAATCGATAACTTTACCCAAAATTCCAAGCCGGTTGTTGGTTTCTGAATCATCGCATGTAGACAGTGTCAGGTAAGAAATTCTTGTATATATCAGAATGAAACGCACAAAACCATCTCAGCATTTGCCAGAACATTTGTTTTCACCCTGAGCGAATTATGCGAGACAAAGCAACAAGGAAATTACCTTATAGCGCAGGAGAGCGGCACGCGCGACGCACGAGAGAACGAAGACTGACATGACGCGTGTTGATGCCGCGGTCACCGAGATTACACACCTTCTTCCCAGTGATAAGTATAAACATTTCAGAGGTCGATTTCACCACATGATATTTGTGTAACCTACATGCATATCACTGCGGACGGGAGATACATCTCCGTACATCCAACGCTGAATTTCTGCACATACAACGGGAAGGTTTGCAGTTTCAATCGACGCTCATACTGTTTTTCGATTTCCTCTTTCTTTGTAACCTGTAACGATGACTTATTTTAGTTATAGTTCACAAGCTCTCTGGTGAGTGGCTGTTTCGTTTGTTCTTGATATGAGACACAACAACGAAACTATGTTATATGTTTATACATGTTTGTCTTACTAAGACATGTCGATGCGGCGTTGAATGGGCGGTGATTTGTTTACTCCAGTGAGCCGTCAAGTCGACGACGTGCATTTATTTTGTCTGATTATCATGAGTACATTTAACTCCTCTTTAACACATGTCTTGTAATATCACGGCAGAGGATACCTCAAATGGCCTACACAGATAGACCCATGTGGGAAATCGAACCCAAACTTTCGGCGTGAGGAGCGAAGCTTTAACCACTAGGCTACTTCACTACCTCTGCTGCTATTCACATACACTATATATTGTGTGAGGGACAGTAATTTACAGCAAGTGAACGTTCATGTTAGTGACTAGCTGAGTGTTCATTTTGTTTGTTGATGAACGCCTCACAATCACTAAAGCAAGTGTGGTGGACCTGAATTATACAAACAACTCTGGTATATCTGAAATATTGCCGTCTAAATATACTTGTTTTGGGTTAGTTTCACAGGCATATAAACAGGATACAGGCAGTCATGTACAGTATAGCACAACACTTGTAGACACTTCCCTGTCAACGAGTATTGGGATCCACTTTTCATACAGAGTTATTCCCCTTGAGTCGCGAGTTGCGGAAGATGCATATGAAAGGCTATGGCTTTGACGAGGCCGTCATCTTAATAATTCGGGATATTATATGTACTATTTTAACACAAGTGACAAAATTTCAGCTATACGACGGCGGTCCATATACTCAGGGGGAGTTATCAATATTCATCACCTTCATGACACTCAACGTGTGCAGTCTTGCAGACTTAATATTCAACTCTACAGTATTAAACATGTGGCCAGACATGACATAGATTTAAAAGAAATTAGTTTGCTATATAAATACACAAATTATTGAAATCTCACTCCTTTAAATAGTGTCTGTCTGTGTACTTCCGCGGGTATAGTCTGTTTATATTGTCAGGATAAAACTGTCTGTGTTGTTCATGAAAACTACTTTCATATGTCATGAAATAGCCATCAATGGAGGTGACCTTATGGTGTTTGGTGCAGTTGCTGCAAATGTCCTTGATGCGACTGAGATTGATCATCTGTGCGAATAAGATTTAAAGTGTTGATCATCGCTAAGCTAAGATTTAAGAAGTGGCCATCGCGCTTTATCGGAAATAACAGTTGACCATCGCTTGGATTGGAACCAGCAGGGGACTAGGGCGGGGATTTTAGAACCGACCAGCGCTTCGAATGGAAATAAGACGGGCGAACATTACCACGACAGGGATATAAACGGCAGCCATTGCTAGGATCGAGACTAAGGGTAGGCTGTCGCTAGGATTGGGATTTAAGAGATTGGCGTAATCAGTGAGCGAGTGAGTGAGTGAGAAAGAGCGTCATGATCGTCGCTATGCGTGGCATTATGGAAGTAAGGCAGTTCTCATTCTCTGTTGACAGCACATAACACATTGAGGATAGGCAATCTTCCAGCTAACATGTCTGGCGATGCCAAGAAAGACCTGATAGCGGAAGCTCGGAGCTTCTCCGCGAGTCTCTCCAACGTCTTCCTCATGAAGAAGCGAGATCAGCAGACGAGACACCTCCTGGAGAAGGCTCAGAATCTTTTGGAGGGTCTCTTGGCGGAGAATCAGCGCCTGTCGTCCAACACGGGCACCCCACGACAGACACGTGGCGGAGGCATGGGTCAGCTGTGGGTCAAGCTGGATGAGATGAAGAGAGAGAATGAAGATCTCCGGAGACAGCTCGGTCGCCATGACGACAGGTCCACGCCCACCAAAAATATGAGTAAGACTGGAATGTTGTGTAACTGTAGCTTGGAAAATGTATTCATTCTACAATATTCAGAATATCACTAGTTGATTATGCTTCTATCTAACATTAAAACATCCATCTATTATAGGCATAGAGTTTGATTGTGTACTTCGCCGTGTTCACAGAATCTCAAATTTGTATTGCTTAGTAACTGAATGTCTACACGTGCAGGTCACGGTCCTGGTGACGTCATCATTGCCGACCTTCAGAAGACCAAGACTGAGAACGAGGCTCTGCGGAATCAGGTAGAGAGTCTTCAGAAGACTGTAAAGGAACTCCAGAACATCACAGCCACAGTGCAGGTGCGTGCTACATTGTCATATAATGCAGGTACATAACGCTGGTGCAGCAATCAACCCTTGTTATGTAAGTTTCGATAGTTTTGCCATGGTGCAGTACTAATGCTCTTATAAAGTACATTCTTCAGGTCGTTATTTGTTGTGGCATTGACGTTACCGTTATGAGGTATTTGGTTGGTACAGTTACACCCATACCTGCCAAATCTCACGCCTTTGACTTTAGAATCACGCTTCTATTACATATGTCACGCTCTCCTGATAAGACTGATAAATCTGACGGCAACTTTAGCATGCAGATTTGGGCAACTTAAAATCACAGGTCTAGGTCTGAATGCAACGTTTTCAGTGACCTTTCTGAGACAAGGAATTTGCAGTTATGCGTTGGCTTTAGGGAGGCTTCGTCCCATCCGCCCTGAACCCCCACCAGGGTCCACCCTTACACCCTTGAACTTCGGTATCTCAAGCTTTTGTCTCTCCTGGGGTTAGAAGCTCTGTTAGACCACTGGTGCCACGTACAGGTTGGATTGTGTTGGTAGCACTCACCTTGCTAGGCTGACTATTAGTTTGGTGCAAGATGGACTGAAGAAACAGTAAGTGGAAATAGTCACTTGACCACTGGTGCTCTCTTTACTGGGCTGACTGGACAGGTTTAATGTCAGTGGTTTAACATCGATGATCAGTCGATTCACCACAAGTAGTGTTTCATGCTTGTGTTGCGTTGAAGGTGGTGATGTATTTTGAGTTGAGGTTCCTGGGGGAGGCACCTGGAACATCGAAATAACGTTCACCCATTACATTTTATCGTTTCCCCAAAAGGTCACTTTCGCACTGTCCATTATTTTAAAGCAAAGTATCTATGAATAAGAGTTAAGGTTCCCGGACAATGGCGTTAGTGAGGATTTTTCCACGTGTTTCAGGACGAGTACAAGCGGGCGAAGATCGGCCTGGAGGCTGCACAGAAGTCCATGGAGAAGGCCCGCCATGATTACCGTAGTCTGGAGGCTAATCTGACATCTGCCAAGACGGAGAACGACTCCCTCAAACAGAAGTAAGGCTCAGGCATATTGTGCAGTTGACTCTTGAGACCTGTCACTTGCATACACATGTAGAGGATTTGCCGTTGTGTCTTCATCACTGGCTCAGAGCGTTTCGTTACGCAATACCAATATCTTCCCAAAGTGATTTTCCCAGTGGTCGAATGGAGCCGGTTAGAATTACTTTTATATTCTAGGTTTACAAAATACACATAGACCATAGGCGAGGAGCAGGACAACCATTGTCCTTGTCCATGTGAATTTTCTTGACAACTGCTGCCTTACCAAAATGGAATTTCTTCCTCTTCGTCTTCCGAGAAAAGATTGATTTGTATTATGCAAGTATGCCTGGTATTGTTTTACACCTGTGTCCTGCTACACCATTGTTTACTCTTTTTCCTAATAATTGTTTCAGGTTGACGAGCAGCGTGAAGCCCATGGTAAGGGCAGATAACCGCCTTACTGAGAACATCAACGAGCGGTGTCGACCCAGTGTGATCGCCATGAGATATAATACCCTAGAGAGTCAGGAGTGGATGGATGCTAAGGATTCACTGGAGGACAGCTCTGACATGGACGAAGAGGAGATAACTCGTTTCTTATGTGCTTCCATAATGGTGTGATATGATATTTATCCTGTGTCATGATCAGTATATAAAAGGCAATACACCAATGAGTGAGAGAGTTGGGTTTAGCGCTGAGTGTTCGAGTTATATCAGCTTAAAACTCATGGAATGCCCCACGTCATGCAGGCCTTACTTGTTTACAACTTAAGTGAAACCCATGGTGCTGACAAACCACAGATGGTAATCAGGGCAACGGTGGATTCGAACCAATGATTACAGCATATATCTGTAACTACAAGTTCTGAAAATTGAATATTGACACTTATTGTTCAAGAAGACATTCAGTAGAGAGGATACGCACCCACATAATATGTAACATGTAGGCCTATGGATGGGAGTGATGACCATTTTCTAATATTTTGATTAATCATAAACAAATATGTAAACATTAAGTGAAATAAATGCTGTAATTATAATGTGTACTGACCTAACAAAATGTCATCTGTTACAGCAAACGTACGAGGCTTCCCGTGACGTATACCAGTGCCTGGAACTCGCCATTGGAGAACTGCTGAGGAGACCAGCACTGGCGGTGAGTATGGACGCCGAGGGTTTAGACTACGTTTTAAGCACAATATTACATGATGTGTTTTTAGACGTATCTGTGTTCTTTTAATATACAACCGCCTCCGTGGTGTAGTGGTTAGAGCGTCCGCCCGGAGATGATCCGGCCGCGTCATACCAAAAAGACGTTAAAATATGGTACTTGTTGGTGCCTGGCGCTCAGCATTAATGGGTACAACAAGGACTTCGGCTCGGAGTCAGTATAATATACAACACAGTGGGCTAGCACTATAAAACCAGCTTAAGTCTGGGCTAGTACAAACAGCCGCACATACACATACACACGCATGCACGTCGTCATATGAGCGAAATATTCTCAAGCACGACGTTAAACCCAATTTCACCTCACCTTTTAATATACAACACCCACACACGCACACACGGACACGCTTAATACATAAAGTGACAGAAAGTATGCAAATAGACGTTTGCACAGGGGCTTGTATTGCAAAACATCTGCCATTAAGGTATATACCGTCACTCTTTTTATATAGTGTTAAGACCCCGACAGTGACAGTATATACCTTTAAGGCAGTTTTTTGCGTTACAAGCTCCTGGGCAACCGTGCACGTTTGTATATTAACATTGCTCATCTACTAAAACGTTGTTTTTACATATGTGTACATATACATTCCTTTATATCTATATAGAAGTTTCCGTTGATTGATTTGGTAAAGCTGCATTGGCACCAAGCACCAAGTCCATGTTTAACATCACAACTATCTTTCATGGCTAACAACAGCGAGTGCATCATTTGGCTAATTAACCAATGGACTGACTAACTAACTGAGTTTGGTTTTACGCCGCTTTTAGCAATATTCCAGCAACATCACCGCGGGGGACACCAGAAATGGTTAACCAATGGAAAAAAATGATAATATTATGATGTTTCCCATTGGCTGCCCATGGTTCCTCGTGTAAATATCATTTAGTATCATTTCATATGTACATTGGTAACTATTGTGAGACATCATGAGAATGTATTATTTTATTTTAACAGGATTTTGTAGAATAGGTGAATGGGACAATGGGTGCTCCAGCGTATTGAACAAAGAAATAGGAGGTACATTGTATCTACACTGACACTCGTGAGAAACACATCTAGATAGAATGTTACAAATGCTGTATATCTGAACTATATGGTGCTGCTGGGATGTAATGTAATGCCTGTGTTCTCCATGTATCTGACCATCTTTGACCACAGGTGAGTATCGCACAGGGCGGCATGAGCGCCGAACCCACGCCGCTTCCGGACGAGATGACCGACGCCATCCGAAGCCGACTCCGACAGAACTGCGACAACATCGACTCTGGAGAGCTCATCAAGGTACGTGTTCACCAGACCAATAGTGGTTGCACAGAGTTTAGGAACAGTGATGCACATTTCTTTAATAGTGGTGCACAACCTAATGGAGTAGAGGGGCACATAGTTTTCGAATAGTGGTGCACAGCCTTTACAACGTCTATTGAAATAGGGAATGCAACAGGTTTTCAAACAGCAGGGTTAATAAATAAAGACAGGCTGTTGTAACAGAGGTGCACATTGCACAACATTTTGAAACAGGGGGTGCATCGCCTTTTGCATTACACGGCCTTTTGAAATAGGGTACACAGCCTGCACGTGTAGATGCACACATCTGTCTGATACGGTTATTAAGAATACATTCTTGCGTTCCAGATCACCAAACACACCTTGGAGAGAGAGTTCAAAGACGTGAAAGTCCTTATCAGCAACAAAGCCGTGAACCGCTACCTGCACGAGAGCGCGAGACTCGCCTGGCAGATGGCAATACAACAACCGCCAATGAAAATGTTCCGTGACGGACAGACGTTATAACGACGAGCGTCATAAGCTGTGGTGGTCATGTGACCAAGCACGTGCATCATCTGTCCATCACTTTATCTGGCCAGTGCTCTTTGATTACGATGGCGGCAATCTCATGGTTAAAGGGTGCGTTTTTGCTAGCTGACTCTATTCCCATTTATATCGTGAAGTTTGTGACAATGTTTTATATTTATATTTATCTATGCATTTATAAATGAACAATTCCCGATTCACCAAGACAATCCAAACTGTTCGAGGTGCGCCATCATGACTGTGCTTTGCCCTAAGGTTAAAAAGGGATGATTTCACGAGTGCTAACTAATGTCCCGTAAACAGAATGATTTCGGGTGATAACCATCATTGTTGTGACAGTATTATTTCTTATTCCTGTATAAATTCAGACCATCGTTATGCGTGTAGTACTTTGACTAGTTCCTTAATGTGGGTAGCACCTGTGTCCGTATCCCTGGTATATAGAGATTTATACAACTGGTGAATAAATAAGCACAATGCATTCTTCATTTTCTTATATACCTAACCTCAGTGCACCTATGGTATAAATCTGCACATGGCATTCATCTCGTGTTGATAAATGATTAAGGTAACACTAGTACTTGTTGAAACGTTAGTAGCAAACATGTTTTACCGGTTAATGTCAGTGCTCTATTGGTCACGTGGTCAATCACATGACACAAATATGCAGGAGAAAGCAAATAAATGGGTATTAAACAGTGCATCTGTGGTAACAGTAAAAAAAAATGTCATTAGATAATTATGTGTTCTGTACTTCTGGGTTTTTTTCTGTGCCACTTTGTGACTCTTTCTGAATGTTTTCTGAAATTTAAGTATTTGGGTAAATGTCAGTGGCGTACTTAATTATTTTCCAGGAGCATATGGGACGAATGATGTATTCAGATCAAGGCAAAAGAAGCTTTAAACAAGCACGCGCACACACACGCAAACACACACACGTAAACTGCCAAAGTGGGTACATAGTTATGACCCTTTCCTAGTCTAGATATGTGTGTAATAGCTGCTTATATGTTAAAGACAGCACTCTTTTGATAATTTCCATCGATGTAGATTTGCACCATATGAAACATTTATTTTTACATGAAGTGTGCTGTTTAAATTCTTTTTCGTACTTTTATAATAAGTTCTTGTCTTCCTAATAGCAATACATGCGTAAGTTAAGTGTATGCCATACCAAAGTACGTCTTCGTGATACACTTACGCAAATAAGATGCGGTACCAGTCTACTGCCCGAGGCTGAATAAGCCGGGTGAACTGGAGTAAAAAGACAGCGGCAAAAATAAGAAACAGAAAGGGCTTCGAGTATGTAAAGAGTCAGCAAAATCAAAATGTCAATCAAAACAGATTGTCACGCAACTCGTACCCTACGCTTGTAAATATTTCCGCTGATTTACGAAGTCGAATTTACAAGTTACCTTGCTGAATGATAACTACCTTTGTATATACAGGTAAATGTAAATCTGTGTGGTAATGTGATATCTGGGCATTGTCGTATTGTTTTCTGTGATTATTAAGGTGGGAGGTTCAGAGATAGTTTCAGTCTTTTGTAGTTTTGATCTCAGTAATTTAAAAATCTGCTATAAACAAATAAATTTGGCATTCTGTGAGCAGAACTCTGCTGAATTAGTAGTCAACAAATTGTCGTATTTCTTCAAAGTACAGCCAAAGATCTACGGTGACAGCATCCCTCCATCCCTCAATTCAACTTTCGTCCCTTCTCCAACTGACATGCATCTTCCCTTCCCTTCTCAGCTAACATGCTGTACAACGCGGCGTCTAATGCAATACACTATCCAGCTGGTCTTGAAACTTAGAAACAAATTGGTTTGTCCAAGCAATGAATTGCCTTTGACCTTGAGACAAATTTCTTGCAAGTCAACTGATTATCCCAATAGGAAGATTTCTCCGTTCATTCAGAGAGTGTGTGAGTATTACATAAATTCCATGGTTCATATTAAACCATGAGGTTCGAAACATTTATCGCTGATCCCGAATCAAAATAAACAGACCTGGGTCAGTTCGAACTACGTGCTACTTGCCAAATGCACTTAAAATATGTTTGAAAATCGTCAAACTGATAATCGTTAGATGTATGCGCGAGACTGAGATGTGAGAAGCACATGCAGAGTTGGTGAAATCCACTAAATCGTGATTTGTTTAGAATTTACCTTTTTTGTTAAACAATACCGATGTTGTACATGCCTTCACTGTTGATGCAAGTATAGTGAGAGTTGTTTCCCTTGCACTGCCAATGCTGCGTTAAGTAGTTTCACCTGATTGTGTTCAGTTATGAATTATTTGTTTATTGCAATTGTTGAATATTTTCTGAGTATGTGCTGAAATAAACACGTTTTTCTATACACAAACTTAAAACCTGTGGTCTCCTTTTTTACATGCTCTGAAACGTGGCTACCGAAATGTCAGGTTAAGACGCTCATGGAGATCATTGTGGATAAGCATGTATGTGGTACCACACTCCGGCACAGCGATGACTTAACATAACATCACTGCCACAGGCTAATTTGCATATCACGTGACCGGACTTTTCTCTTGTTTGTAATCAAACGCGCATATTCATAATAAGAAGAGACTGGACTCACGAAAGCTTTTCGGCGCTCACTTCATAATGTTTTACATTGTTACATATATATTCTTCCACAACTGCGACAGTAAGGTCTATGACAGTACATATTTATATATCAAACTGGCTGCATCGTTTGCTCTCCACCAGCTTCGATGACAGCACGTGGATCCGTACAACCTAGGATCGCTACGCAAATCGAAATAGTGTTACATGTTTTAGGATATTTTCTCAATGAAACTAAACCATTCTATGAAAGATGTTTAATTAGTTGTGTAGACTCGTCAAAAATAAAAGAGTTGAGAAATATGTAAATTATATTGAATGGAGGGTGCAAGAGGTGACGAATCGTCCCATTTTTCTGGCCTGTGGCGTAGGTACTATGCTGGCTTGCCGCATGGAACTCTGGGTAGGAGAGTGAGTAACTCTCCTCGCCCCCCGAACTGGCTTGTAAAATGGCTGAATAAAGAAGTCTAACAGTAACAGCATCAGCTTAGTAGTATTCAATACTTCCTAGGTATTGGACCACGAAACAATGGGGCCCTTGACATCTGTTCTGTCTTAATATAAGATATCTGCATGAAGTCAAGCATTGGTCATAACATCACAATTCATCTCGGATACTCCATGGCGTGAAATATGGAGTAGTTCGAATCTATTCTACCCTGATCCTAGCAGAGGTCAAGCATTGTATTTAAGATCTATTCTGCTATGATACCCCAAGAGGTCAAGCCCTGGGAGATCTGTTGTGCCCATGTAACACAAGACAAGTCAAGGGGGTAACCGGATCTGTTCTGCCAAGCAATACATTGTATCTGCATCAAGTCAAGCATGGGTTACAACAGTACTATGCTGTCCTGATATCTGTAGAGGTCAAGCACTGGTATCCGTAAGATCTAATCTGATCTGATACTTGCAGAGGTCAACCACTGGTATCCGTAAGATCTGATATGCCCCGATACTTGCAGAGGTCAACCACTGGTATCCCTAAGATCTGATATGCCCTGATACTTGCAGAGGTCAACCACTGGTATCCCTAAGATCTGATATGCCCCGATACCTGTAGAGGTCAAGCATTGGTATCCCTAAGATCTGATATGCCCTGATACCTGCAGGGATACAGCAATGGTATCCTTTAGATCTACGCTGCCCTGATACTAGCAGAAATCGAGTATGAGATAATTGAGACTTATTCTGTCATGAGATATATGTATGAAGTCAAAACAGGGAATTTAAGATCTATTATGTCCTGATACCTGCAGAGGTCAGGAATAGGGTACTAGTATTTGGGATCAATTGTGCCCAGCAGAAGTCAAACGTGAGGTTCTATTCTGACATGATGCCAGCATTGCTTATCAGGTATCTGTATACAAGCACAAATCAGACCTGGGGATCTATCCTAGCCCTTAGATACCAGCATGGGAACTTGGATCTATCCTGTCTTCAAATACATGCATCTAGGAATCTGTCACATACTCACACACTTGCTTGGGGTACTGGGGATCTATCCTGCCCTCAATTTCCATTATGGGATAAAGTGAGTGAGTATGGTTTTACGCCGCTTTTAGCAATATTCCAGCAACATCATGGCAGGGGACACCACAAATGGGCTTCACACAATGCACCCATGTGGGGAAAGGAACCCGGGTGTTCGGCGTGACGAGCAAACGCTTTGACCACTAGGCTACCCCACCGCCCTATGGGATAAAGGGGATATATTCTCAACAAGTAGGTATTGAGACTATCCCGCCCTCAGATACCATTATGATGGTTAAGCAGCATTGGTCCCCTGAGTCCTTGGATGGGTTACATATTTGACAGCAGGATTCCCGTGAAGTCCCGACACTTCTGTCCTGCCCCACAACGAAGCACATGTGATACATGTGGTCACACCTTAGGCAAGTGAGTTTGTTCAAAATTGCCTCTGTTCACCCAGCAGAAAATGGGTACTTGATGGGATAGGTCACATGACAGCTTGGGTTATCCGGGGTAATAATCTCCATTATGCTGTAAGCTCTTAGATCATGACCGTGCAGCGTGGAGTTCATCGCTATATACGTGGCCTTATGAGGGGATATCAAAGAGTCCTAATTATAGAGGAAGAGTCCTAAATAGTCCATTTTCAAACCGGTCATATGTCCCTCACAGTTTAGCCAAGATGTGGACTCCGTTTTAACGATACCAATGAGGTCATTAAAGAGGTGGAGGGTTGGTATTCCATGAAATCTGGGGGTCTATTCACGTGCTCTGCACAAGGTGAAGTAATGGTGGGAGAAATGTGTCACTCTGGTTAGTGACTATGTAGAGAAGTCTTAAGGACAAGAAATCAAAATAAAGTTTCTACCCTGAATACCTCTTGGTGATAATTAGACATATTTGATACTCCGTCATATATTATGGGGTATGGGGGTCTATCCTGCCTTCAGGTACCAGTATGGAATACTGCAGATCTATTCTTTCACAGTCATCCTTCTATTTCATCGACCGCCTCCGTGGTGTAGTGGTTAGAGTGTTCGCCCGGAGAGCGGAAGGTCGCGGGTTCGATCCCCGACCGCGTCATACCAAAAGATGTTAAAATATGGCACTTGTTGGTCCCTGCCTGGCGCTCAGCATTAATGGGTACAACAAGGACTGGTCGGCTCGGAGTCAGTATACTGTGTCTGAGTGGGGTATTCATGCTTCACTGCAGCATGGTATCTCAGTGGGCTAGCACTATAAAACCAGCTTACCGGTAAGTCTGGGCTAGTACAAGCAGCCGCACATACACATACACACGCATGCACGTCGTCATATGAGCAAAATATTCTCAAGCACGACGTAAAACCCAATTTCACTTCACCTCACCTTCTATTTCATCTTTGTTGGCTAGTTCTCATACCCTAGAAAACAACTTCAAATGACTATCTCTGGAGACACACAGTTAACGTCCAATGAGGGTGAAGGTCAAAGCAATGGAAAATCTGCATACTGCTCTGCGTCAAGGCATAGCTTCAGTGTGAAACATTTGATAGTAAGGAGTCCAGTGAGTGAGTATAGTTTTACACCGCACGCAGCAATATTCCAGCTATATTGCGGCGGTCTCTAAATAATCCGAGTCTGGACCAGACAATCCATTGTTCAACAGCATGAGCATCGATCTGTGCAATTGGGAACTGATGACATGTGTCAACCAAGCCAGCGAGCCTGACCACCTGATCCCGTTAGTTCGGTTCATTACGACAAGCATGGGCTACTGAAGGTTCATTCTAACCCGGACCTTCACGGGAGACAAGCATGGGCTACTGAAGGTTCATTCTAACCCGGACCTTCACGGGAGACAAGCATGGGCTACTGAAGGTTCATTCTAACCCGGACCTTCACGGGAGACAAGCATGGGCTACTGAAGGTTCATTCTAACCCGGACCTTCACGGGGAGACAAGCATGGGCTACTGAAGGTTCATTCTAACCCGGACCTTCACGGGGGAGACAAGCATGGGCTACTGAAGGTTCATTCTAACGGGGAGACCGGACCTTCTAACCCGGGGGAGACAAGCAAGGGCTACTGAAGGTTCATTCTAAACCTTCCGGACCTTCATTCTAACCGGGGAGACAAGCATGGGCTACTGAAGGTTCATTCTAACCCGGACCTTCACAAGGCTACTGGGAGACAAGCATGGGCTACTGAAGGTTCATTCTAACCCGGACCTTCACGGGAGACAAGCATGGGCTACTGAAGGTTCATTCTAACCCGGACCTTCACGGGAGACAAGCATGGGCTACTGAAGGTTCATTCTAACCCGGACCTTCACGGGAGACAAGCATGGGCTACTGAAGGTTCATTCTAACCCGGACCTTCACGGGTGGAGTCCAGTTAACAATACATGCACAACAAAGTTTGAACCAGGAAATATATGTTTATTCTAAGATGGCATACATCAATATACAGATGAAAGTTAAGCAACAGCTTACGAAGGTCACCAATAGAAGCAAGTCAGATACTTAATTTTATGTCCAAATACCGTCTACAGGAACAAGGGACCCCAAAATCAAATATGGGCAAATTTCTTTACGAAAAAAATTAACAAATTTCATACATTAATATTAAAAAGAAACCATACCAAATGGATCAAAAGAACAGTAATGTTTCAAAAATATTGTATATCCTTTTCATATTAACAACATTGGACGAGCTTCTTTGTGTAACTTAGCAAAGTTAATACTGTTATTAAAACAAGCAAAGGTTTAAAAATTCTAAATCTATATCTCAAGGTACAGAAACTACAAAAACCTGCATGAAAAAGTATAAAGCACCACATGTCTCTCCTGACATTCACAAACAAACAAGATCAGAGGATTTACCAAAAAGTACAATCACAACGTCCAGTCAACTTGTGTGAACAGACACTGTTCACCACATGAAGAGTCAGATGCAGTAACAAATACTGAGAGTTGAAATGCATGTTGAAGCATTGACCTGAAACAATTTACCATCACTTTCATCTTTGGAGGCTGATGACTTCTGCTTATTTCCAAAGAGATCCCAACAGGTAGAAAACAGATCACCTGAACATTTCTATGCATTAAGGATGTGAGAACACTGACATATATTGTACCATGTCTGTCGAAGGTATATTACTTTGTGTCTTTAGAAAATGGGCCCTCAACATGTTGACTACAGTGTCAAGTTCACATAAGCTGAATCAACTGGTTTGTGTACATTTTCAATTTTAACCCTTTTATTAATCTGATTTATCCAACATGAAATTATCAAATTTTATTTAACAATTTACATATAATCAAGAATAAAAGCAAAATATTCTTAATGTTTTTACAATGCAAAACGCAGACACCTCTTGAACAAAACAATTTCCAATAACTACAACATAAAAGTATAGTTAATATAACATTGGATAATACAGGATTCAGAAAGACTATTCACTTATATCTTGAACTGTGATATCTAGACTTAGTAAATCACTTTAGCTGGAGGAAGCAGACAAAATCAAGGGAGATAACTCATCTTTGCATGATTGATGGAGAAGTATGATTGTTGGCCCCGAACCTGGATACAGGTGACATTAATTAATGCTAGAGGGGTCAGTGCTTAACAAATGGCTGTCTACACATATATAACATAAACTACAATGTGAAATGCTTGAAATGCAATGAAAATGGTTCGTGTATACTGTTTTCTGTACACACAGGTTCCTGTATGGCGTGTAACTCACCTATGATAGTCACTGCCCAAGATAATGCCATGCTTTGTTCTAACAAATGTATAAGAATCATTTTATCGCAGGACTTTGCCCAAAACACAAAATGAAGTCTCCTCAACAGGGTAAATGGGAACCAATCATTAATTCATTATAAAGTAATTAGATCAATATTTTTCTCAAAACCCCATAACATTAATTGTATCCATACTAACTTGATTCTGCTAATTTATTACCCAAAATTGGGGGATATCTACTGACTTTTGTTGTGGCTGAATATTTGTCTCTAATATGGCCTTGACATATCTCTGTATTGAAACTTTTATCAAAAACAAATAATGTTTGAAAAAGACCCCCAAAACTTTGTTTCAGGAGGTAAAATCAGACAATCAATACTTGATTTTTTGTTGTTGGAAATTTGGATTGAATATGCAGGGAATATAAGTCACTGAAAATTCCAGATGGCATGCATCGTATACCTGTTCTGTGTGGTATACGATGCTGTATCACATGTGTATGTACAATGCTAGATACAAGTAGTAACATGCAGTCGGTAACCTGTAGTAACAAGTAGCAGCCCTCGTCTATGCTTTACCAGACTTCTCGGCTTCAATATCTGAAACACAGAGGTAAAGGCACTCTGAAAATTACTTAAGAAGGGTATGACATGTATAGGAGCACTAAGCCTGGAAATGTGGCTAGCCCAGAAAAGTATATATAGCTGACTGAAATACCTTATCGTCTTACATTTTCGTCACATGTTTTCGATCAGCCATTACAATTTCCGTTTATCGTGTGAGAATGCGAGGAAATCCAAGAGAAGCAGCCTGAATGACAACATGGCATCCCGCTATTGGTCTGACATCAACATGCTATGAATCAAGTTTCCATGCATAGGCATCAGTATAAAACCCATAAAAGATTAATATTAAACTCATGGATCCTTAATGCAATATCTTGCTCATGATCAAATCGCATAAAAGTCCTAAATCTTTACTCCAAAGACGCCATTGATGTTTCGTCTTCTTAGTTTACATCCTACCTTACAAGATCACATTACAAGTCATGTGATCACACTGATAGATATATTTTTATGGTAAACCAAAATCGGAAAAATGATTACATTAAATCAGCAATGAATTTTCAAAACTTAGTTTTATAACAGAAACTAGTGTGATTTAATTTACTTTGTTTACAGAAACTTATCAACGTAAGAAAGCCCAATTACAGCCAATGTAATCATGAGGCTTGAGATAATGGACAGGGAATGCCAATATTATGTATACTGTTTTGGAACGATACAGAAGGGGAAAGTTTTTATTATCTTTATGATACGACTTGTTTGACTTTGTAGTGCAAGTGTTTTGATATAATAAGCATGCCCTACTATTACAACATCGCTAAAAATATACAGCCAACGAAAGGATCGAAAAATGACGTCACGTCCAGCGAGACCTTGAGATTGCTTTGACTGTAATGGCGGGTTACCGATAGAAAACCCAATGACAAGCACAGTAATGCAACTGTTTATGAAATGAATTATCGTGTCTAAAGGTAGGTGGAACGATATTAACATATTGTATTTATTTTTTGTTCACCAACTATTATACCGTTATCAAATCGAAGACCCAAATCACTAGGATATAGCTGTATATGGCCATCTGGAAGGTCATAGTTACAGAAAACTTTGAAACATTTGCATTAAAACTATCAGACTTCTTTAACTCTTTCAACACCAGTCAACCAGAGGCTTTTACTGCCATGACACCGAGTTCCCAGAGACTCTGAGGTCATAGATGATGCCTATGTTTATCAAGGAAAATATCAGCTTGTAAAACAGTATTGCTACTACATATCATACACCATTTGAAAGGTCTAATCCTACTGTTTATAAATATGGAATTTATTTTCTATCATATTATTCAAATAATCCAACTACAAGGTAATTAATATATTTTTTCATGAAAATGCAAGCTTAAAAATTTATAATGTCCAGATAAACCACGAAGGGAGCAAAAACTGCGGCATTTTTTTCCCATTTGTAACATGTCATAATATCCCCTTACCTTTTTCTTCTATATTTTCATTTTTACGTGATCGGAAAATTATTTTTAAAAAGATTTCTCATGTAATATGTATTGTCGTCTATTTCCCGATATCAGTGACTTTCCGCTCGGTAACGTGATACACCAATGGGGAAAGCCTCGGTTTTCGAAGCTTCATATGAATAACATGTGAGGCCAATTGTTTGATGGCGGGTATCGTTCGAAAGCTCTGAACATCAACACTATCACTGTACCCTTGCCAAGAGTATTTTCACAGTTGTAAGAAGCGATTTTATTGGATAAAAATTGGTTTCTTATAATGCTTTTTCGCCACAGTCTGATATAACGCTCATGATTGGTCAAAATCGTACACGTGACCTAAGGCAGCCAATCATATTACAGCAATGGATGCCGTCCTTGTAAACGAAAACTAATGATTCAGACGAAGGTTTTGGGTAAAATCACGGTATTCTGAACATGTTACGCAATAAATCACCACCCATACGTATATTATGGAACTTAGTGGACGTATCGTGCTAGGTTATGACCTGTGACAAAAATGCTTCATGCATATATTTTAGCATTAAACATATTTTCAGTGTTTTCAGACATTGTGTAAAGTGATAGATTTGATAAAAGAATCATATGTTAGTTAGGTTCTTAACATTATATATCATTTTGATGTGACTACTGCCTGGCCGGTTTACCGGCCTCTGGTGTCTGGGGACTCGTGATGTCTTGGCCTACGGTTTTGAATGGATTAAATAGCCTTTTACATTAGGTTTTATGGAATTGGAAATGTAAATATGAACATGTATTTGCTGAAGTTTCATAACATCTTCTTCTCTGTGATTTCATTCCTCAGGAAACCGTCTTGGCTGAAAGACCTTTACACGTTTGAATATTAGATAAACACCTTAAAATCATCATTTTGAAACTAATTACTTCATCTACAGCTAGGCTGAAACAACCAGCACTGCACTAATTTTTTCATAAATACCAAGGCTTAACCACCAGACACTCACCTAATTACTTCCTAAACTCTATGCCTGATAGTCAACTAATTACTTAACCTAAACCTAGAATTAAACATCAGACAGTTTGAATTACCTTCTTTGGAAGGCAAACAACTTTTCTCTTGGACACTTGTCTTCTTCAGGCTGGCCCTCTGAAAACCCTGGATAGAACTTTCAAACTCCTTCTGCTTCTTTTCCTCTTCAATGGCTGAAGAAAACAAAATACAATGATCATGCCATTGTAGAGATTCTAGTACTTTTAGGGGGGTATGTCTCCCATCCAGGATTCAAACCCACAATCAGAGTAAGGCAGCTTAATGCCAGCACACAAAGTCAGCCATCTAACCCACTCAGCCATGCAACTTCCACAAAATGAAAGTCTGAAAACTGGTGAAAACTTTAGATCAAATACTTTGTGTTCCCTGTCAATAAGTGTAAATTGGCACAGCTCTGATGGTGAAAGCCTGGGTGGGCATTAACTCACCCCTAACAGTACTATAATGTCTACTTCAAACACTTCAGATCTGGGAGAAGCCCTAGCTATAAAAACAGCTTTCAATCCCACCAGGTTTCAATTAAAGATTTTACAGTTTACCTCAAAACCATATGTTATCATTTATTTTTCACTCACACAATATCATGGGTGACAAAAAGCAGAAATGGGTCTCACACAGTGTTCCTATGTGGGGAACCAAACCTGGCCTCAAACATTTTGAGCAAATGTTTTTATCAATAGGCTATCAACTTAAATACAAGATTGTGTCTTTCTGGATGGTGGTGGTAAACATTATTTCTGTTTCTGTGATTTCCTTTGTAAAATTTACTTTGAACAAGTCAATCATTTGTACAATTAAGATGAAGTGAGGGGGTATTGCAAACTTTTCAGAATAAAAATAGCACATTCAATTTTCAAGTCAACCATAGGACAAGCATATCCTGCCAACAAAGGGAGACAACTCTGCACAGACAACTGCATCAGTTTACACCATTTGACTGTTTTCCATCACAGGCAGGAAGTAAGAAGGCCTACAAAGGCCTTCATGTGATGAGCATACTAGACTGAACAACAATCACAACATTATATCATTCAGAAGACATACCATCTTTTGGTGGAAGGGGATTTTTCTCGTTCATAGTTGCATGCTTGAGGTTTTCCTTGTCGAATTCTCCAATAGACTTCCTCAGTTCAGTCTCCTTCTTTTCCTGACCAATGTCTGAAACGATACACAGTAGTGAGTGAGTGAGTCAGTGAGTGAGTGAGTGAGTGAGTTAATCACTACTTTGAATGGTATTCCTGTTATAGCAGAACATCTCAGTTCAGTCTCCTTCTTTTCCTGACCAATGTCTGAAACGATACTCAGTAGTGAGTGAGTGAGTGAGTGAGTGAGTGAGTGAGTGAGTGAGTGAGTGAGTGAGTGAGTGAGTGAGTGAGTGAGTGAGTGAGTGAGTGAGTGAGTGAGTGAGTGAGTGAGTGAGTGAGTGAAACACTACTTTGAACGGTATTCCTGTTATAGCAGAACATCTCAGTTTGACCACAAGGTCCTAGGGGTATTTGAAACCCACAAGCATGGGTATGAAACAAAGCAAGAAACTTAATTGATATGTGCACTTGAATGCAAGGTACTTGCTTAATACGCATTAGACCTTAAGATTTCACCAGATGTTTGTCAATGAAGGAGAAAGTGAGTTTGGCTGTATGCCACTTTTCTCAGTACTGAATCCATCACTGTGATAAGTGATACATCATCTACTAACGCCATACACAAGCCTAAAAATGTGAGCAAGACTCACTAATACCCCTGACCGTGACTTTAAACTTTAGCTGAACAGCAATTAATAATGATTATTTCATTTCAAGCTGCGTTCCAAATTTTAAAACATTTTGACCAATACTTTTCAAGTTATTGGTTAACAAACTTTTCCATGTTCAAGTTCCCAAATTGTTGTAATTGTTACAAAAATTCAAATATCATAATCAAACTTTGCGTTACTGGTGGATCACAAATGTCTTCAGACTGGCGTAACTATAAACCCTGACCTTTTTAGGTTATAACAAGTTACAACTTATTTTCAAGGAATATGTGGAAATAATAATATATTATATTTAGATGTCAGTGAAACTGAAACATTTTTGAGAATAGTTTCAATGATATATCCACTTCCGCATTTCCGTTTTCTGTAAAATAGATGCAGTTGACATGTGAAAAAATAAACTGTCAAGGTTGTATGCCATGTTTTCCATTTTGCCCACTGTTATGTTCGGCTTCCATTTTTTTTAGATTTAACTTTGGTAAAACATTTGTGACATAAATAATCAAGTCTGGGTCAGACAACCCAGTGATTGACACTGTGAGCAACGATCCACACAGGCAGCACACAATGAAACTCAATCAACCAAGTCACTTGATCCATCACCTCTCCACAACCACCATAGCTTGCTGGCTATACATTCTTATTTGAAATACCCACAGTATATCATCAAAATCTTCGGTTTTAGTCAGGGTGCATAAAAACATTTCTTACAGATTTCTCCAGAAGGGGTCAGAGGTTGGTTATTGGAACAAGGCACTTTATTATTGTGAATACGGTATTTGTGTTGTTATAGACTGCCTTACAGTCCCTGAACCATATTTGTTTCCCCTCCGCCCTGTCCCATCTGTAAACAAAACGCTGTCTACATTTGCCTCTGAAACTTCCATCTGACTGGAGCTCCTTTTCAATTGAAATAGTTATTTATTACCTACGAGGGCAAACATATCGGGGTTCATATTTTTCATACGATGCCCTAGGGCAAAATATCACTTAGTCATGGTGACGTGACGTCATGAACAATGCTATGACGTCGCGTTTCGTCTGTGACGTTGCGTTCTACATGCAGCGACGGCGGGTAGCCAGTCTATGTTTAAAAGTAGATTTGGGATTATTTTCCTCAATTTGACGACTTCGGTTATGAACAGAATATAATATTTGTGCCCAAATCATATCATGTTTATGACACTTGTGCCTAACTAACCGTATATCGCTCGCTTTCGCTCGGGAAATACCAACATTTAGGCACTAGTGTCGTAAACATAGTATGACATGGGCACTCATATAATAATCCTCTATTTATTTCTATGAGAATAACATATTTTTGAGACTGAATCTGAATCTTGTGTTGTTATTGTGCTCCTGGTTACCTTCACTGTTAGGGAGCACTTTCTTCTCCACAGTTTCCGCCTTCTTCAGTCCGGTTTTGTCGAACTGGTTGATGTTCTGGATGGTCTTTTCCTGGGCCAACGCTGGAAACACAAGTACATGATCAGCAAAATATTGCTTTACCATAAATACTGATACAGCAGAACACGCAGAAATATAACAGAGCAGAGTTCAGTGTGCGCATGAATGGAAACTGTTGTTCCTATCATCGCCAGACCATAAAGTTTGGTTTGTTTAGTTTGATCACTAAGCAACTCAGCAATATTCCAGCTATATGGAAGCAGTCTGTAAATAATTGAGTCTGGACCAGACAATCCAGTGATCAACAGCATGAGCATCTATCTACGCAGTTAAGATGCAGTAACATGTGTCAACAAGTCAGTGAGTCTGACCACCCGATCCAGTTAGTTACGACACGCATAGTTTGCTGAAAACCAATTCTTAACCGGATCATCACAGGTCTGACCATTAAGTGAGTGAGTGAGTGAGTTGGGTTTTACGACGCTTTTAGCAATATTCCAGCAATATCACGGCGGGGGACACCAGAAATGGTCTTCACACAATGTGCCCATGTGGGGAATCGAACCCGGGCCTTCGGCGTGACGAGCGAACGCTTTAACCACTGGGCTACCCCACCGCCCCCTGACCATTAAGTAGTGAGGCTACTTTCATCGCTCTTTGTACCCATCACATGCAAACAGAGACTTCTTTAGCTCGAAAACAATAAATTATCTTACGTTTATAACTTAGTATGAAGATGTCAGTCATTTGACATTGTTTAAAAAAATTACCTAAATTCTTTACTGAGTCAACCACATTACCATCCATGATTACTACCTACGAAAGTGATAAAATTTTAAGACATGCAATTCATTAATTTTTCTCTTATTAATTATCAAACAGTATTTGATTAAAAAGATATCACCTGAACATAGAAGTACTTGAACTACGAGACATAACTTTATACAGGTATAAGGCAATTATGTCAACTTTTGCATTTGAATTCCAATACATACAGAGGCACTCACATGTGTTTATTGGCTAAAGCGCATAGATATGTACATAAAACGTGGCATAAAAAAACAAAACAAAATGGTGCAAAGAAATATATGAAATAGAATTGAAAAGTCAAATTTAACACATTATATGGAGCTGATTGCAAACTATGTATACTACTAAAGAGACATATAAAAAAAGTATTATGAAAAAGAATTGGTTGTGCTAACCTCTTTTGAGCAGTTTATAAATACATAATTAAATACAACTGTACACTTTTACCAATGAAGGTTTTCTTTAAGTTCATAGCTCTAAAAATCTATCATCTACAAAGGTAAAATAAAGAAAATCAAAGGACCAAACTGTACCTTTACTGTCCAGATTTGTAGGCTAATAGTGAGCAATCAGATTCTGACATGAAATACTATCAAGTGTCCAGATTTGTAGGCTAATAGTGAGCAATCAGATTTTGACATGAAATACTATCAAGTGACAGCTTGAGTGACCAGCATGTATTTGGTCAGACTTTAAAACATTTAGATGATTATTGTCACTGTGCCTGTTTCAGGCCTATATATGAAGATCCTGCCCAAGTTCCATATTCTTCTCACATGGTATTTATTTTCTATATGTGTAATCAGTTCAGTGATTCATCAGTGAATAGTGAAAAAATATACATATTTTACCAAAAGAAGAAGTTTCAGAACACCCAATTCTTTTATATTACTACTGTTAATCTGTCCTGACATAGTTAATCCTTTATAATACTTCATAATAATCAACACTTACATTTATGGATGTCAGAAGTTGACATCCATCAATTCTCGCCTTTATATGTATCAATTCAAAATGCTATTCATAGACTTTATAATAATCCTCTCATGGCGCTATTCATAGACTTTATAATAATCCTTCATGGCGCTATTCATAGACTTTATAATAATCCTTTCATGGCATGACAGAATAACCATGGTAACATAGCAGAATTGGATGTTCCTTAACTTTCTGTGAGTGGCATATGCTGAAAAAACAACAACATATCCATGAACACACACATATAAATTAGTATAAGGTTTCAGATTTTGTCAATGATGCATTTGAAGGCATTAAACGGGAAACATTTCAGTACTTGCGCAGGATTATTTCAGTGACGATCCTATCACCAACTGAGCTCTCTCACAGTTAATATCATTGAAAATAATGACATGTTCTACATCTAATACAATCATACACCAGCTCTACTCATGTCAGTCTAAAACACACAGCAAACACGTCATGCAGATTCCACATTCAACTGACATGCTTGTTGATACAAGCTAGTCACTGTTGTAGGTTGGGACAATGGCTAGAATTAATCATCTTGATTTACAGTATTAAACCAGACCAATATTCAGGCCCAATTTAAATTTACCACATTTCCCCTAATAAGAGCTGGCTATGAAGCAAGCATACAACACAATGAGAGTTGGGTCTCTACAAAGTGTCCGGTCTCAGACAAATGCTGAGGTTATTTGACTTAAACTGCTTCTCCTGAAATAACAAAAGGCTTAACAATGAAGTGTTGTCACGGCATTTTCATATTACCATGTTCATATTTTGCTGTCTATGTGGAAATAAATTCTGAATCAAATATAGCAAAATCTAGTCTGTGACAATTTACTCTTGACTGTGGCTTTTACAAAAATGTAAGCTGAAATATCTATATCCCTGCACGGCCTATTGTACCTGTGGCCATCCTGAACTTCCAAACCGATAAGGAAGGATAACAGTAAATGGCTAAACAACTAAAGAAATCCTCAGAGGGGCTTATTACAGGAAATACAGTAATAGTCAAGCAATATCTGACTAATCCCCATTTGTGCACTTTGGAATGAAAAGGGCATAGATTAACTTATCACTCATTCAGTAATCAATTGAAGCCATATTACTGCCTTTGCACAGATAAAACCACATTGCCTTGTGTGCCTAAACTAAACAAACCTCTTGGAAAACCTTTAGCAAACTGAAATGATATCACCCTGAACTTGTACCTTGTGGGAAATCCAATACCTAAGACCTCACAAAACTGGATTTACTTTCCAGTTATGAAGAAAGCAATTGTTATGTTGTTTCAGATGCAGCTACCAAAGAATTTTAAAAATTTTTTTAAAAACAAATCTGCCTGAAACAAACCCTGACAACAATGTACCTGTTTCAACCTTGCCTCTTTGCTAATTGAACTAATGGGTACTCCTGCCCTCTAGGCATTCATCTTGGATTCCAAACTAAGTGCTTTGAATATGACAGGCAGTTTAGAAAATATTATTTGGTTCAATTTGTGATATTTCTTCCAGATTTAATCTTACGTCACTTCAGAGGTGTGCTAACACTGAATACAAGACCCAGTGACCAAGCATAACATCATCTGCATCTTTATCAGTTCAGTTGTCAGTAGTGAAATCAAGTCACACTGACCTCAGTTATAATGGTAACAGAAGGGAAACTTGTCATTATACTTTGAGAATTTTTACTGATGTTTGCTTCAGATGTGGGGTTGAACATCGGCATCTGAGGAGGTCCAGATAAAGCCCTGACATAGGAAATTTTTCTTCAGTATATAGAATGCCTTATCTTTTCAGATGTTTATAATGCTACAAAAATGCGGACAAGCTTTTCCCTCCTTTTCGGATTTCAAACATTGAAAGTGAAACATTTGGTTATTCAGATGAACATAAAACGCATCGTGCAAGCTTTTTTCGTTACCATTATGAATTTTGATTTGAACCAGGTGGTGACAGGAACAATATGAAAATCTTGGCATAATATATCTTAATAGATTTCACCAATCTAAAGTTTAAGGAAATGTTTATAGTTAAACATATTTACTGTGTAAAACATAGCCTGTCATTCCAAATTATTTCTCTCTGAAAACTTGAATTTGAAGGTTTGCTAAACCAATGCTAAATGTTCTGCCTCTTTGTTACACATATTTTAATGAGAGCTGGGTTTAACACAACCTTCATTGACGAGGGAAGTGTAGGTATAGTGCTCACAAAACCAGTATCATAATCTGGGTGAATATTGCATTCTGGAGTGAGTGATTGAGTTGGGGTTTACTCAGCTTTTAACATTATTCCAGCAATATCACAGTGGGGACACCAGAAATACAATTCACACATTATACCCATGTTAAACAAATGACACCCTAAGTGAGTTAGTGTTTCCACTACATCAAAGCATGTGTTGACGTATTTGTGAGGCATAAATCATGCCTTACAGAGTTGTTTTATGGATGAAATCTTAATCTGATAAATGCTCATCTACTTTTTGAATCAGCAATAATCTTCCTTATCGAGACAACCATTCCTTGTCATGGTTAAGGGGTAGGTATCAGGTACACCAAGGCTGTGGCTGAGAGAGGGTGAAAGGAATGTGGTGGGAATGTGGTTGGAATCTGGGAGGGTATGTGGATCAATACTTCGATGATGGGTACTTGGGTTGGCAATATGGGTGGATGAGTACAGACACACACTGTACAAATACAATGTACGTCATGCTCAGTAACACCTACTTTGTACATCGGGCAGGACAGTCTTCTCCTGAGAAATAGTGCGTTTAAGCTCTGATCGGGGAAACTTGTTAATGTCCTGGAGGTGAGTTTCTCGCTTCTTCTCCTCATCTAGAACTGGCCACGATTAGCCGTGCAAAGCAGACGTCAGAGTGCAACAATAAGCAGACGGGCAGCAATAAAAACCCAAGGGAATGAGGAAATAAAAGGAGAAATTTATTAAAACCTTGACCTTGAGGTCAAAATATAGAAACAGTGTCACATTAGCTGTACCCAAAGGTCACACTTGCAATCATTGGAGAAAGGAGATAATCAGTCATTTATGTGTTTCAATATAATTTTAATAACACGACATTAAAAAAATAAAGTCTTTGAGTGGGGTAGTCAAAAATAAAGTCTTTGAGTAGGGGTAGTCAACAAATAAGTAGATGCTTGATTGAATCATTTTAGAAGATGCTATTTGATGAACATGGAGATTTTTCTGGGTTACATGTTCATTTTTTTAATTCTTAAAAAGAATAAAAAGAAGATGTAACCCAGAAAAATCTCTATGTTGAACAAATAAGTATTTTATTTTTTAGAGAGTTTAGAAAATACTAGATATCTCAAAATAGTTATGATATTAAAAAATTATTTGCTTTGGTACAGACTTAATATGACACTTTTCTTTGTGCAAGAAGATGAACTCATTAACTAAGATGGTTTAGTAAAGCTCCCACAATGAACATATTGAACACAAAATTCTAAATAGAATTGGAGATCTATTAACAAATGAAAACATGAAATGCTGGAGGTAATCAATCTGTACTGATGCTTGTTGCCAAGAAAAAGGTGTGATAAAATATACGAAATGAGCAAATGAATGTCGACGTTGTATATTGAAGTTGTTATTCCATGCAGTGTGTACAGTCTCCAGTTATATGACACACAGGATAAACACACAGTGGATATATGCCTTGTTATTCCATGCAATGTGCTGTGGGTACCATACAATGAGAATTTGAGAAATACATGACCAGGTGCGATACAAGTGTTATTACGTGCCAGCAAACTGGCTATCTCAGGGAAACCATGGGTTGCTTTCATTGATGTTTACGTTGCTTGCTTCAAAAGGTATCATTACATGAAGAGACAGTGTAAAAGTTCTGAAATCAGATCCTTTTGGAGAAGTCATGAAGTATAGTTTGGTTTGTTCTCAGGAAAGAGTAAATGTTGTTTACAGTAGTCGCATTAATAAAGACAATGCAGGGAAGGTCAAAAAGAGCTTTGGTGCCACTCGAAAAAAAAAAAAAAATATTCAGCTCTGGGTAAGGGTGTCCAGATAAGGGTCAGTTTGGCAACAGAGGAACACACCTGTTTGGAGAGAACAGAGGTGGGGAGGACAGAATATTCTCTGATAATAAATGAAAGCATAAAATTCTTTGATAGTCTCTCTGTTGAAAATGAGACATCTGTATTGTCACCATGGGTACCCTGTTCCACTGATAGGATACAATACAACAATGTGACGAGTTACATGATATACAATGTGCTACTGTACACAGAAGATTCACTACATTTTTACTCAAGCTCCGACTTGTGTTTTCTGGTTTGCAGGAACTTTCATTGCATGCCTGTTTCAAGCAACACGTGTACTGATAGCCAATCAAAATCTATGAACAACATTTGATGAAATTGGATTAGCACTTCTGATTGACAAACTTTGAAATTGATAACATGGGCAATTGAAGATTTGAACCCAAAACCACTGGGTTCTCCAGCAAGGATGCAACTGTGTACAGTACCTTAAGATTAGATGTAGAACAAGTAATTACGGCGTCAAGAACCTACCTACAGGACTACCATGACCCATGGTTGGTCATGTGATATGTTTTAATGACAACAATGATAAAACTCCATGGTCACACTACAAGTCACTAATGTTTGTATCTCTTTAAGACCAGGCACACATTCCATCTGACTTTTATATGTTTTGAGTAAACACGGCTTCTGACAACTTTAGAGTATGCATGACCTGACTGTATTAAATGTCACTCTAAACATGTCTTATCTGGGCTTTGGCAAAACAATTCCCAATCTGTAATTTATTACCCATCCATTCAGACCCACAGCCGATACCTGGGTGTGGGAAATAGTGAGTTTAATACTATGGTAGAAAAGGTTGACCCGACCTAGCTTTACCAGAGACAATTGTGCCACTAGACTAACATCTTGTCTCTGAAATGAACATATTTTACAGAAGAAAAAAAAGTTTATAAATTAAAATAAAATACAACAAGAGTCATCAGAAGATGACATATCCCCGGCCTCCACATCTTTGAAAGAACAAAGCATCTGACAGTTACTTAAAGTCCAGCTTGATTTTAGACTAAGTGCAAATCGTTTCCATGGAAATCATCAAAAAAATAAATGACAAAAATCTGCAAATAGCAAAAGGCACCACTTTGGCATCTGCCTCACATATCTGCCAAGTTTTGCTGAAAGATATTAAGAAGTTTTTGAGTTGTGCTCCGGAAACGAAGCCCACCCCTCACTTTTGGGACTAAGTCCGAATCGTTTCCAAGGAAACCGGAAAAAATAAAAATGCCAAAAATCTGCAAATAGCAAAAGGCACAACTTTAGGATGTGTTTGATATATCTACCAAGTTTTGTTGACAAATATTATCACGGTTTTGAGTTGTGTCTCGGAAGCGAAAGCAATCCTTACTTTTGAGACTAAGTCCAAAATGTTTCCATGGAAACCAAGAAAAATATAAAATGCCAAAACTCTGCAAATAGCAAAAGGCACCACTTAAGGTTCTGTTTCATACATCTACCAAGTTTTGTTGAAAAATATTGAACGGTTCTTGAGTTATGCTCCGGAAACGAAGCCCACCCCTCACTTCTGGGACTAAGTCCGAATCGTTTCCATGGAAACCGGGAAAAGTAAAACTGCTAAAAATCTGTAAATAGCAAAAGGCACCACATAAGGTTCTGTTTGATATATCTACCAAGTCTTGTTGAAAATACTGAAGCGGTTCTTGAGTTGTGCTCGAGGAACGAAGCCTACCCCTCACTTTTGGGACTAAGTCCGAATCGTTTCCATGGAAACCGGGAAAATAAAAATGCCAAAAATCTGCAAATAGCAAAGGCACAACTTTAGGATCTGTTTGTTATATCTACCAAGTTTTGTTGAAAAATATTGAGCGGTTCTTGAGTTATGCTCTGGAAGCGAAGCCCACCCCTCACTTCTGGGACTAAGTCCGAATCGTTTCCATGGAAACCGGGAAAAATAAAAATGCCAAAATCTGTAAATAGCAAAAGGCACCACCTTAGGTTATGTTTGACATATCTACCAATTTTGGTTAAAAAATATTGAGCGGTCTTTGAGTTATGCTCCGAAACAAAATGATTACGGACGGGCGGATGAGACGGACAGGGGACAGAGAGGTGACGACTATATCCCACCGCATTACATGCCGGTGGGATAATAAAAGGAGCCCAGTGACTTTCATTTTCAGAAACTGTGGTAAACTAGACTTGCCACACATTCTAGACTTGCATGGACTGCATTGGGTATATGTGTTTCAGGGTCTGTATGACGGACTATTGAGCCACCTGTGATCCCAACTCATGCTGGGAGGAATCTGGATGATGGGAAGATGTCAGTGGGTGAGATACAGGATTACAGGGGGATGCTAGGTCAATATGGAGATATCACATTGCTATACGCTGGGTTAAAGACGAGGATGGGCATCATCTAGGATATACACTGGGCTACATACATGAAACAAATCATTGCCCATGAATGTTTGCTCAGCAACATGGTAGATGTAGACTGTGAACATTGTCTACTGGAGTTGTGAACTTACATCCAGCTGTACAATCTGACAATGACACTTCGGATAAAGTCTTTAAATCAATACAAATACCTGTCCTCAAAGTATGTTTTTCATAAAACACTGTCACTGTCAAATTATGTTTAGATGAGGTCTCTCCAAGTTGTAGTTGTTATAGGTATGAGGTATTACTGGTTGTGAAGCACGTCCCAAGACATAATACAATTATGGAGAATTGAACCCAGGTTTTCAACATAAGGGAGTGCATTAACCACTAGGCCACCCCAGGACCCATTCACAAAAATGACTCTGGCCCCAAATTATGTAAGCATTCCAATGACTCTGTCACTAAATTAAATAAGCACCCAAGCACCCAATGACAATGCCCCACATATACAGTCACAACAAAGCAACATTTTTAACTCTTTCCCTGAATAAAGTACCATAGCCTGAAGCCAAGTCAAGCTTAGCAAAGTAAGAATGTCCCATACTGTAATAGACCCGGGCCAGACAGGGTAGAGTAACAAAGCTCTCCTTCACAAGTAAAACTGTCTATTTCACCCATCAGTGACTTACAATTGTGGCACTATTTTGGCACACTGCGTTTTCATACTAATGCCTTGTATGTGATTTTTTCATGTAGAGTATGCTGAAAGGATTATCACAATAGTGCAAAACTTTAAAATGTCAATCACTTTATAAAGTATTAGGCATTTCTTAACCTCCCCTTTAGCTACTGTATATTTCATGTTTCCTGTATCTATAACATATGTTATATTTGTGATGGCATTGTGTAATCATAACTTTCCTGTATCTAGTCTTGCAAAGATCATCAATACAGTGACACAGTTCTAAAATCTGATTACGTTTGATGAGGGTCATGTAACTTAGTGTGACTTCTTGTACATGACTTTTGAAGATGCCATATTTGTGTTTATTGTCCACACGAATCAGAGTTACCTGGTTAATCAAGATCATGGGGTGAAGAAGCCAGTGGTGGATAAACATGCTCATTGAAAAGACTGCATGCAAAATCAGATCAGGTGTTAGCATCCTCAACTATATATCTGCCACACACTAAATCATTGCAAATTAACTGCTATAAACACAGCTTTTGGACACAGCCTTTGCCTGAGCGCCTCTGAGCAATTTGTTGGAACAGGTGCTATATAAATATTAACTTTATTATCATAAATATGTAGACAATGTCAAGGACAACCTTCTGTTTAAAGATTAAGCAGGAAACAACATGGAAACAGAATCATAACAACCAATCATACTGCAGCAACACTGTAACTGCAGAATCTATAAATGTAAATAACCAATCATATCACAGCAATAGTGAAACTGCTGAAACTCAGAATCTAAACTATAAAGCATAGTGCAACAATGCAACAGCAGCCATAAATATAGTGCAGTATTTTGCAAAGCGTTGGCAAGATATTCAATTTAAGCTGTGCAACAAGCATGATAGCCATAAAGCAAGGCAATAATAACAAGCAAACTCTAAAAGCATGAAGAAGCAATGGACCTAAACACTACACAAGGTGAAATATAGGCCATCGGGAACTCACGTCATGTTCAGTCATAACATTTGCGAATACTGAGAATTCATTCACACTAAATAACAGGGATGAGAATAGTTTGTTCTTAGTAAGAATCATCGAACATTAGCCTGGCGGTCTTGTGAACTGTATAATTTATTTTTATGTTTTGTTAGTATGTAGGCAAAATATAATTCTTGACCAAAAGAAATTTGTGTAATTCTACGGAAATGAAGAAAATTCTTATCCCTGCTGTTTCTATCCATTTCCCGAGCATTGATGATTCATAATTACAGCAATATTCGCAAATCCCATGATGAAACTTTGAAGGAGCACCTCCAGCCAATCATATCAGTGATGAGGGCGGAGAGACAAGCCAAACTCACTACTGGTGTCAGGCAGAATAGACCTTTCCTTGGTTTCCGTATGATGGAATGAGGTTTTATCAAACTTGTTGACTCCTTCAAGGACTTGTTGATGATTCTTCTCCTGATTTACATCTACAACATCATGCGGTTGTCATAGAAACAGATACAGCTATGCCAGGGGCCATGTCATCAGCAAAATAAACTATTTTGACAAAATGTCTCCATAATAATTCTGTGATTCTGCCTTCAAATGCAAATTTTCACAAAGTATGCACATGGCCCCAGTAGCAAAGAATATTTTGATCTTTCAGTCGCTTTTTGGTTTCTTTTCCACATCTATACGATTATTTGCATCTTCCTCAAGATCAGTACTTGCTTGACAAGTCCATCTCCAATCAAATATCAAGATGCATTAGTGTACGTGTACATCTGTTGAAATAAGGACCAATCTTTAAATATATGGAATTTGAAAAAGTAACTAGTTCATAGAAGAATATTTAAGACATTTCTGAACCATTTATTGCTCCATTTTCCTAAATAACATTTTCAGATCTCAACCAAACGCTTGTTATCTAACTGCAGAAACTTTCTCAGCACATTGTTCTCCTTATATTGATATCAAACATCCGCTTAACAACTGAAATATATTAACAAGATATCTGTTTTGACTTTTTGCTCAATCAAAGATGGATGCTGAGGTCATTCCAACAGATAAACAATCAGCGATTTGGCTAACAAAATTCCATTAGAATATCTAAATGATCAAATCAACATCTGCTATGGCATTCTATGGAAATTAGAATTCACTTTTCAGAACTTTTCTGAATATGAGTAATCAATGACCTGGAAAATGAACCAATCCCAAATCCAGAAATGTCATCAAATTCTACATTTTGTTAAACACTATCAGGCATATTATTTACTAACATACAAATACTGCAATATAGTGTAGTACAGTAACCATGGAAACAACTGAAAGATCTGTGAAAGCTTAAGCTGAAAGACTCTAGAATATCAAATAAAAATCAAAAGCTCAACATTCATGTCCTTACAACTAATAGGTGGTTCACAAGACACAAATCATGCCAATGTCTGTAAACCATGTAACACATTCTTGAAGTGTACTGCTTGTCCATGAGGTTATACAATGACCTTGTAGGAAATCATTAGGAATTACTTTGCAGTATATAACTTAGTACTGTCGGAAACCCACTTTGAATAAACCCTCCATTTAACTGTAGAAAAAGAAGATAAGAAACATTTTCCTGAAAATTATCAATGAACATATGAACAGAGAACAGTAAAGAGTTTTATGTTTAAAATAACAGACAGGCACAATAATTAGGCTATTTTCACTATTGCCATACAAATCCAATAATACCCATGAATATTGCACAAGTATGGCAATAGTTGTCAACAACTGCAACATTACTGTGACAATATAAAACCAACTTTAAGGCTTCATAATTACATCGATTAATGTACTGACTGACTGAGTTTGGTTTTACGCCGCTTTTAGCAATATTCCAGCAACATCACGGCGGGGGACACCAGAAATGGGCTTCATCGATTAATGTAACACAAACTATTACAATAGTTCTGACAATGTCGAGGTCAACCAATTTCTCCCTGTTGCTACTCAAACCAGGAAGTAATACCAATCTGAAGGAGGAGTAAGGATATACTCCAAAACGTTGTGTTCCTCATAAAGAAGTTGACGTCCATAAAACTCTCTTCCCTAATCTGAAGAAGAAAACCTTGTGAAATAACACACAGGTTTGAATTTTGACGGTACATTTTTTTAAAAGAAATAAAAATTAGTGCATGTGAAACTAGGCGACACCTCTTCCACGCAGTTGTGTGTAGGAAATCCATAATAGCTAGAAGAAAGAAGTGACTGTCAAGTAAATATTCAAATTTGGCTCAGGGCACTTACAGTGAGTGAGTGAGTGAGCTTAGTTTTACGCCGCACTCAGCAATATTCCAGCTATATGGCGGCGGTCTGTAAATAATCAAGTCCGGACCAGACAATCCAGTGATCAACAGTATGAGCATCAATCTGCGCAATTGGGAACTGATGACATGTGTCAACCAAGCCAGCGAGCCTGTCCACCGATCCTGTTAGTCGCCTCTTACGAAGAGCATAGGTTACTGAAGGTTCATTCTAGCCCGGACCTTCACGGGTTCTTACAGAGAGGGAATGAGTTAGTTAGTTAGAAAGCACTATTCCAGCAATATTAGAGCAGGGGATAACACAAATAGTCTTCACACAATGTACCAATGTGGGATATCGAACCCTGGTCTTCGGCCTGATGAGGACTTGGCTTTAAACCGTGGGCATTTAGAAAGATTACCTGCTGACTGGTCTAGAACATGGTCTACTTCTTGGAGTTTAATATTACCACATATGACCGTAAATAAGCCACATTTTGAGGACCAAAAACAAGCGGTCTCCAGATGGAGGCTTATCTACAAGTTACACTTTCGTCAAACATTTTTTCTGGTTCGTGTGAACGAACGAGAAAACAACTTTGTCAGTGAAAACATCAAAATTGCAATCAAACATCACTAGACAAGACTATTTACCTTTTCAGTTCTAATTTGTTTTTGCTGGGCATTGTATTATATATTGACACTCTATTTCTGACGACTCATCAAGATGAGAAGATGAACAAAGGTTGGTGAGTCTGCTTATGTACGGAACATACCATTTTGATACAGATTTTAAGGGTCAAGTTAAGACCTTGGCTTATCTATAAGATTGGCTTATTTATGGTGATATACCGTAAATACAACAAAAACAGTATCATAACAAAGTCAACTAAAACATTCTTGACTTAATGATTTCCTCACACACATGTATTGAATATATATGGCATGGTGAGAGATACTATGTACCACAAAAAGTAACATGTAAAATTACATTCTCTTTTGACAGGCCCTCAAGATTTCTGATTTTTCAGTTTTTGTGGATATTTCCTGTTTCCTTAAAGGAAACTAAGACATAAGCACCTGACAACTATTAATATAAATCAATATGCATCAAATGTCTAGATGATTTGAATAGCATGTCCTGAATAAATATCAGCAAAGCAGTTTTCATGACAAGAAAATGTATTTAAGGCCAAAATATTTACTTTTGTTTAAGGTAACCTTTAGTCAGATTGTTTCTTTTGCAACCCAAATGTCTATATAACAGCTGGGAACAGCCATCAAGAAATCATATAGGGAAAAGGTGTGAGCTTCAGCATATTATCACTGCTGAGGGCTACCTCCGAATTTCAGAAAAAAAATTGTAAATGCCAAACAAACATTATTTAAAAAGTATATTTAGGGACTGTTCATAATTTATGGCTAGGGATGATGATGATGATTTTAAAGGGGGTCCCACACGTTTTGTTCTGGGGAGCTAGGGGATTCAGCAATTTTGCACACATGTACTAGGGAGGTCAAAATTTGGACATAAAAATTAGTTTAAAATTATGCTTAGAACTTATGGGAAGGGGTGTGTGGGGTGGGGTGGGGTGTCACTGATTTTGTACATGACATACAGGGGGGTCACTTATTTGTACATAAATTTTAAGGGGGTCATTCACATTGTACATGCTTCTCCATAAAAATCATCACCCCACCCAGCCATAAATTATGAACGGTCCCTTAGACAATAAATTTGTATCAGCTCATATCTGTTGCACCTAGACTAACGCTTAGTCTCTGAATATGTATAATTTTGATAGTAACAAACAAGCCCATTTAAATTGAAAAGGAGCCCCAAGGAGACCAGAGATTCAGAACCTGAGAAAATCTAGACTTGCTTTATTCAGGGCTTTAGCACTGCAGTCAGGAATTGGCAGTAGGGAAAATAATGTGGTTCAGGGACTGTGAGACAGACTACTGTCGCACCCTGAGACATGTCTACTTTTGGTTTTGGATCAAAGAAGTAGACAGCACATGCCTTGTCTACTTAGAACAGATTTCTGAACAAAATCAACAAATTAGCCCAAACATGATTTTTCTTTCAATGAGTCATTTGGATGTAGAAATGTGTATATTTATCTGTTGTAATACAAAAATTGGATGACAATTATGCTGTCAAAAATAACTTTGCATTTTTTGGTGCACTTACATAAACATAAACTTGCATCTCGCCATAGCATAGCTGAAATAATGCCAATGTGACATTAAAACTTAACCTCACTCACTCGTACATTTATCAAGAAAGTGATTACCCTTTGCAGCTGCAGCTTCTCACACACCACTTAGATATGGTTATCACACAGCACACAGTGCTCTATATCACACTGATATATCATGTCTGACAACCACCACCAATGAGGAAGCATGTGTCTGATCATCTGATTGAATATCAGCACATGGAGTGGATGAATACAGATAATATACACCTCTTCCTGCTGTAGAATGTCTTCTTTACATGTACACTTAGGACATGTATTTACTGTCTGGCTTTAACTTTGCACATGTAAACACGATTTACAGTGTTATCTACACATAAGGAGCGATTACTTCTACTTGAGTAATCCACAACAGATCGTATCGCCTAACTTGTACAAATATGTGTTTGTATTCATTCATTACCTCCTTTAAATCTTAAAAAGAGTTGATACGAACATTTTATGTAATGGATTTATGAAGCATTCATGCTTTGAGTTGAGTCTGACATGGACAAATATTTCCCTTATTCATTAATAATATTGTCTACATTTCAAAGGATAGTTGGATAAGAACCTTTCAAGTAAAGGATTTGTACAGCAATCATGCTTCCAGTTCAGGAAGATAGATTGAAGCCATAGATACTGCCGGATAAAATGGACATTGTACGTCAGTAAACGGGATACCATGCAGACATGCAGGGGTGTTATTTCTTCACACATCTGATGAATCATCTGAAACAGCAGTTAGTAAATAAAGTTATTTGTAGACTGTACTGCAGACCTACCTTCCATGGAGGGCAGAGGGTTTTTCTCGCTTGTGTCCACATGCTTCAGTTTGTGATCACCCTTGATGGCGCCCAAGAGGGTAGGATCAACTTTCTGTTCAGTGGCGGCCATTTTGAATAATTGAGATGCTGGTCAAATCTGAAACAAAAGAGATTTCATGTCATCTAAAAGGTCTGAGAAAAGTATGAGATCTTGTACCAGCCTGGTTGTATGCCATGAACTCCATAGACTGACGTTCTTGTCAACACTGATAGACACTGTGTCGGTAAAATCAGCCAGAACACGACTGACAATTGTTGTCACCACAGGGTAAACAATACTCCACAACCATTCTGACCATACAATTTACAACATGAACACTGGTTTCTTAAGAAAAATCCAGGGAAAAATCCAGAGAAACTAGGCAATGGGTAAAGGTTCCCCGCTAATAAACATGCAACAGAAATTTCAGCAAGAAATGAAAATTAGATGCTGCAGTAAGGACTTTTAAGTTAATAAAGTTAGGAGAAACAACTATTCCATCCCTATCTTCACTAGTACAAACCAACTGAACTCGCAGCTGTGGCCAACCCTGAATCATAACACATAAAATTTCCAGAGCAGCCCACCTTGCCCAAGCGATCTACATGATCTAACCTAAAGAGAAAACAATGGTGGATGAGTTAGTGATGAATATGGTTTAACACCAATTTAAGCAATATTCCAGCAACATCACAATGGCTTGTGCACATTGTATAAGTGTGGGGAATCAAAACCTGGTATACCTCAGTGTCTAGTCCTAGAGCTGTAACACCTGCTGCAAGCCAGGTACAGAATGCTATGGATCACTGAACACGGAGTATTTACACTTGTGCTGTCATCAGCACGAGATATAGCAGTCATGTGAATCATCTGTATTTATATTCACAGAAGAGATATCATAAACCACCTGAACACAAATACACGATTCTCTCGTCTGACATCAGCAGACGTCATGTCTTGAAGAATGTAAACAAACACAAATCAGCCTGTGGACTTAAACACTTCTATGGACAAGGAAATATAACCTCATAAGTACAGTATTTTTTTCTGGATCATCAGGGTTATACATGGCCAGTGGACCTTGACAAATGAATGCCTGGATGAGCCTTCCGTTACCCCACGACTACTGAGTAAGAATCTAGTGATGGTTCTCCTCATTACCTTGTGGCAGGGTCATCATCCTCAACCACATCTCAAATGGTTCCATTTTGTTACAAGGTTGCAACAGAATGAAAATGACATCAAATGGAAACATAGCAAACTTTCTTGTGTTGTTCAAGGAAGACTAGGTACAAACTCTGATAACAGTGACATTAAGTTTACACCTGAACTAGTCTAAAACCCCAAGGAAAATGAACATGAAGTCACCTATCATGGGCTACCCTGATCACATGACACACTAGCCCTTGACAATGTAAGTCTCTGAAAAACAAACTTCAATTGCAAGGTTCTTCACATCAATGATCAAATTGATCTTTAGAAGTCGTGTGTGTGTGTGTGTGTGTGTGTGTGTGTGTGTGAGACTCTCTCTCTCTCTCTGTGTGTGTGTGTGTGAGAGAGAGAGAGAGAGAGAGAGAGAGAGTCATTGGCACAATTCAGTCTTTGCACCCATCACACTCAGATGCATTCAAGCTATGTGACAACGGTCTGTGAATAATGCAGTCTGGACCAGACAATCCAGTGATTGACATCATGAGCATCTGACTTACGACACTTTTTACGAAGCATAAAACTCATACTTTATTATATCCAACAAATGACTGGTGCTCAGTGTCAACCCACAGTTTAATATATCTGACTTACTGTGGTCTTCAAGATTTCTTACAACAGTCTTGGGAAGCTCTGAGACAGTGTTAGCTCTGTGAAGCTCTGACAAAGAATGGTTTCCTCATATCCTGACAGAGAAGATCTTCCACAACAAACTACAAGCCCCCTGTGCAACATCTACACTCTCTGAACAAGGTTTGGCTTATCACCGCTTGGACACTACTTCAGTCATCAGTATCAGCTCAACATGAGGGAGGTTGTATCTGTTTAACACTGTAGGGTAAGTGAGCGTGTTGGGTTTTATGCCGCTTTTAGCACTACTACAGCTATAGCAGGGGACTCCATAGACTAACGCTTAGTCTCTGAATATATATAATTTTGATAATAACAAACAAACCCATTTAAATTGAAAAGGGCCCCTGGGAGACCAGAGATTCCTGAACCTGAAGAAATCTAGACTTGCTTCATTTAGGGCTTTAGCATTGCAGAGAGGGTTAGGCAGTAGGGAAAATAATGTGGTTCAGGGACTGTGAGAAAGACTAGGGACTCCAGAAATGGGCTCCACGTATAGTACCCATGTGGGGAATCAACTGGTTTTCGCCTTGACAGCTTGGCAATTAAACCACTATAGTACTGTCGGAAATATAAAAAAGCTGTATTTCCTCATTTATCTCTACAATTTATGTAGTTGATATGTGAAAGTGTGAAATATCTGTTAAACTAAGTTCGGCCTAACTACAGTCTCGGTGGCAGAGAGATAGGAAACGGAGAAAAGGACTTTACTGAGGGGAAATTAGTGCAGAAATGAGCAATGTGGGTTTTCAAAGTCAAAAAGACTTAGTTGGAACAGACCATGGCTTTATGCAAATTAGTGTGCGACGATATTGTATTTCAAAGGACACTTTTTAAATGCCCAATTTGAAATTAGACGTAGATTCATTATAAACAATAGCTGACGTAAAAATAATAACTTTTATACCGAAACTATTAAGGATGTAGCTACCATGCAGTCTCACTGTCACTATAAAAAGGAGGGGCCGCCTCAAAAAGCAAAACCTGGGGTCGGGCTTGGGGATAGAGATATCAGCTAAGATAAGATAATCCTTTAGGGCAATTATACTGGGGAGGTACACGGCACGTCATAACAATTTACAAATAATATCCAGTCCTGTCGATCTTCGGGTGGTCATGCCACCTATATACTACGATGCATTTCTATGGTTTTCGGGTATCATACTCTTTTACATATCTCAACATAAACTATATGAAACTATATGAAAGAAAGACACGTAAGATGTTAATCAATAGATGAGACATAGTCAACACACATGAAAAGCACAAATATCTTTGAGATGACCCCTTGTGCCTGTAGGCAGCATGTGCATTTCATGCCAGGTGAGTCGACGGTCCGTCGTCATACCTGGCTGAGCGACCTAATTGCCATCTATAGTCTGATCTATTGTTTTCAGCAGCTATTCGTATTTTACCCGATTTTGCGAGTAAACATGCTTTTCTGGATATCGTATTACGCATCCCACTGAATGCCCAGTTAGGCCGAAGTGGGTTATTTCGACATATGCTATTTGCAATTGTGTAAATGTTAGGGATACAGAGTAACAGCCTAAAAACAGTTTTTTGTCTATTTCCGACAGTACTTTAGGCTAGCCCACCGCCCCTTATCACTGTAGGGGAACTCATGAGCATGGGTACGGTTTGTAGGACGTATAATAATTCGGATTAGAACCCAGACCAACAGACTCTCATTGCTTAACTCCTCATATGGCGAAAGTGTGATCCATGCACTGACATCCCTTTCTATGGGTCTAACTCAACAAATAGTTTCTCAAACACTTCAGACATATTATTTCCTGTTGTTGACTCCACAAGCCAAGGAAATATTTCAGCAGACACGCGTACCATTCTGTAGGTCACAAGCACATGATTACAGGGTTCACCAAATAAACACTTCTTTTTATTCAATCTGTGGACCATCAAATACCTCGTGTTTCAGAACGTGTGCTTGTGATTCATTTAACCCAATAAATGTGGTATTTTAAGCAGAGTAACAATTGAATATCATTGACTCAGAACCACAGTAATTGCCAGTTACATGTTATATCTAGGGTCAATTTACCTTCACCTGTACAAGCTTAAACACAGGATTATACTCAATGATGTTTGAAATCACAGTCTCATGAAAAATATCTCAAACTGTGAGGTGAAATTGGATTTAATGTTGTATTCAATATTATTTTACTAACAGAGTGATGTACATCTACACGTGTATGGGGCTGCTTGCACTAGTCTTGACTTTTGCCAGTTTTATAGTGCTGGACCACTGACAGTGAGTGAGTGAGTGAGTGAGTGAGTGAGTGAGTGAGTGAGTGAGTGAGTGAGTGAGTGAGTGAGTGAGTGAGTGAGTGAGTGAGTGAGTGAGTGAGTGAGTGAGTGAGTGAGTGAGTTTCATGCCACTTTTAACAAAGCAAGGGACACCACAGTCAAGCTTCACACTTTGTACCCATGTGGGGAATTGAAACACTGGTCTTTGGGGTGACAAGGGAACACTTCAACCACAGGTAAATACATGAATGTGTGTTGGGTCTAACACCACTTTGTAAAGAATTTCAGTCATATCCTATTGTTTCAGCTAGATTTTGAGAGGATGAACAAAAAAGATTGCAACAATAAAAATAAATTACACAACTGTCTTCTGAAATTAAGTTGAGTGAGTCAGTTTGGTTTTATGCAGCTGTTGGCAATATTTTAGCAATATCGCGGCAGGGAACAGCAGAAATGGACTTCACACAATGTACCCATTTTGGGCATCGAACCCGGGTTTTCGGGGTGACGAACGAACGCTTTAACCACTATACTACCCCACCGCCCTTTGAAATTAACATGTTCTGGGGAACTATGAAATCTTACCACAAACCATGTTAAAAAAAAAGTTCAGTTAAAATTTGAAAAGAAAAACAGTTTGAAAAAAAAAGTTAAAAACCCTACTTCTACAAATAGTAAAAACCATAAAACTGCTGATATAATATACAGCTCTGTTACAGTCAGGCGTAAGTTGTGAAGTGTAAGTAACTAATTATACAACTCGTCAGAACACGACTGACCAAGAATCCATCATCCTCCAAATCCCCAGGCTATGCAAACTATTGCAAGCATGGTTCATCTCCTGCAAGACGGACTTGAAAACACTGAAAGTAGGTTATCCCCAGGGAAACTGTGGGTAATCTCCTGTAACAAGTCGCGAACCCTGTGACACGACCCCCACCCACACACCACTACAGATGTCAACACTACACCGCCAACATTTACATCACACCCTGTCTGGGTATTGCCCT